GAAGGAAGATAAGAACTCACTGGCCCATGCTGCCACATGCCTATTGCCCAGGGGTACACAAAGCATTCCCTGAACAACAAAGCTTTCTCATGAGGTTTCTTGCTTTCTTAGTCGTGCACTGGACAGATGTAATTTTCACAAATTGTCCATTTTTGGCTGAACAAAAATGAAAAAGGTGTAGCTTGCAGCAGTGCCAGGAAGCCAAGCCAGGATTTTGGCAAGGGAGCTGCTCTCCATCTTCTGAATTCTGTGGAAGTGATTGTATGACTGCTAATGCCAGAGGAGAGTTTCAAGCAGTGCTGGACATTCTAGCTGCTGGGCATCAATAATTCAGAGTGTAGCTATTGCAGAGAAAGAGCACTGAATAAATTAGTCGTGTTTGGGAGATTTCTTATTAACAAAGAATTCTTAATAAGACCTATAATGTTATTAATGAGGAGCTACACTCATAAATCCCTTTCGTGGTAATGAGATAATCAGAAGTCTCTTTCATAAAGCCAGGTGAAGACATTTGGCTGAAGGCATGCTGAATGAAAGAGGTGATGGGAGAATTAACATTTCAGTCGCCCTTCTGGGCAGTATACAGCAGAGCATAGTGAGAGGAATGGGTGTCCTAATGTAACAGTTTGGGTAAAAATGATGGAACTAGGATTTTGTGGAAGACTAGGAGATGTTCAAACAAGGTGTTTGATGTCTAGTTTAGTTTTCATGCGATATAAAATTTGGCTTAGGAGAAATTCTTTTCAAGTACAAAGAGCTTACTTTGATCTCTCCTTCCTGTCATTATCATTAGAGCCAGCATGGGTTAATATCACAGTACTTGACACAGCCCATTGCAAAAGTGCCTCAAGAAGGGAGGAGAGCCTCTGGGTTTCACTCCCATATTGCACAGGAAGATGACTGCTTTCCATCTCTCTCCTCTCTCTTTTGTGAAAGCCTTGCTGGAAGTTTGTTATTCGTGTGGATTTTGGCACGTTCTGAGCCTGACTTTTTCCAATGAAAATGTACTGGCAAGTGAGGAGTGGTGGATAGCCCAGCCCTGCTGTGCTCACAGGTTGATGGCATGACTGCTATGCTGCTCTCCACGCAGCCGCCAAGTCTGCAAACACACCTACCCCTGGAGCAGCTGGACTCCTGCTGGATCCTTTCCCTCCTGCACTCAGCAGCTTATTAGTGGAAACACTGCTTTGGGAGCCAGGCCAGAGAAAGTGGGTGTGCAACTGCAAACTCTCATTTTCTTCAGTTTATCTAATGATAAACCTGTGTGCCTGAAGTTGCATCATTTAGCTGCATCATGAGCAAGACCCAGAAGCCTCTGTTGCGCTTTTGAAACTTGTAGTGTGGCAGCAAGGGCCTCAAAGGAAGCCTGACTTTCCTCCATAGCACCAGGACTCCCTCTGTCTGACGTGGTACACACTGCACTGGCACAGGGGAAGGTGCTTTGGGCAGGTTTTGACTCCTGAAATCAGTAATGCAAAGGCACAAAGCATATGAACTTACCCAATGTCTTGCCCTTGGCTTTTGGGAACAAGTCACAGACATCTCACCAAATCTTCAAGCTAAGTATTAGTTAATCATTTGTTATTCTTCAGCTGTGACTGGTGCTTTTTTAGCTAAGTTATTTCAGCGGAAGTTTTCAAAACAGAAATGTGTACCTGTGAACTTCAAAAAGGCCACTGCATGTTTACTGTTCAAACTTGGCTGGTTGTAATAGCCCTGGCAAATGCCCAGTAGAGAGCACTTCTAAAAATGGCTTCTTTGTGCTAGGTGGGTGTGACAAGGCAGTCTTTTCTTTTTCTTCTTTTTTCCAGCATTGCAATGCTGAACACCTAATGTGCTTTGTGTGCCCCCAAGTCTCCATGGCCAGGCAATTTTAGTTCTGCAAAACAGAACAGGCTGTCCAAGGAGGTGGTGGAGTCACTGATTGTGCAGGTTTTCAAGAAAAGGGTAGATATGGTAGTTGGGCATGGTGGGGATAGGTTGATAGTTGAACCACATGATCTTAGTGGTTTTTTGCAATCATAATTATTCTATGATTCTCAGTAGGAACCTGAACTTGTGGAAACAGAACTCAAGTGGTGCTGTGTCACATGTCCTGGTGGGGTTGCAGGAGGTGAAGATTTTGCATTCCCAGTGTATCTGGACAAACCCATTCATTTTCCAAAGGCTGCTCCCCATCCTTCTCAAGCAAAGCCAGATGAAAATGATCTGCTTTGCTTGAGCATTTTACTACTAAATCTAGAGCCACCTGATGCAGTTTTGTCAGGTTGAAGATACATAATGGCAGATAAACTGTAGGTGTGGTGGACCTGGGTGGGTTAACAGAAGCCACTGTTTCATGCACGCACACAAAGTAAATGAAGTCCTTCATAAGAGGAAAATCTCTTTAATCTCCTCTTTGCGGGAGATATCTGAACATGCTATGCCAGTGTGTACCACACTTGTGAGTTGGGATTATTTTGATTTATAATTTAAAGTGATGTGAATGTGTTAAGTAATACTGAAAGTGATAGGTGAAGAAAAGTGAGTCTGCCTAGGCATGCTGCTGCTAAGACATCTCTTGTGCTGGCAGGTGCTTCTCTTCCCAACCCAACATCATGCTGCTATCCCTGTTGTCAGGACATTACTGTCCAGGCTCTTTGGAATAGCATGTTTTATTGGAACATCTAGTGGAATTGCTGGTGGTCTCCCAGTAGTTTGGCAACAAAAGTTTAAGGCCAAAATGGACTCCATTTGAGGTAATTCAGGTATAATCCTGGTTTCAGGAGCTAACACTGCACTACCAACCCACAGTAAAAGACTTTTTCTAATAAAGATTTCATGAATCACATTGGTTCTGGTGTTTTTTTTTCCTCTTTGTGTGTGTTTGTCTCTTTCCTTGAAACAAATGCTTCCTTTTCATTTCATTCAGCCTCTGAAGCAAGAGGAAAGTGAGTCTTTTGTATTCTGTAGTCTACAGATGTTGATTAAATAACATTTGTAGTGTGATAAAGAAAGAAAGAAACTCAGTGCATTCTGCTGGGGTAATCTGCCAGTTAGGATCTACCAGAATGATTAGGTATACAGAGAAGATCCATGAAGCAATCACCATGCTGCTGGCATGTGATCTGTTCCCAGGTATGAGAACTAAAGGTTTCTATATCAAAGCTTTTATTTCCTTTACCAGCAGATGTAATGCACAGTGTAATCCAAACTGTGGAGTTGGTTGTTATCATAGTGAAATGCTTATTGCATCTTCCTTGTTTCTGTACAAATTGAGATCAGTACTTGAAATACAAATTTCCCTCTTCAAGTTCAGTTTTCAGTCCCCAAGTAGAGGAGATATCTGCAAAAAAATCTGTGGAAATGCTAGCGTTAACTCTGAGAACAGCATTATGCTCCGGAGTTAGCAGCCAAAGAATGCATATCTGTGTGCATTTGCCTCCTTTGCTTTACAAGCAAATGATTTATGAAGTCCAATTAGCTCTTACTGTGACTAGAATTAAGGTTGTAGTTTCATGAGATACTTTATTTATTTATTTAAAGGATCATTGCAATGGTCTGAGTTTAAAAAAAAAAAAAAAGAAATAGTTGTTCTTTATATGGAGGGTGATTTTTCTTTTCCCCGATTTTTTGAGTGACCTAGTTATAGCACAGCCTCACACTGGGGAGGGCAGGGAGTGCGGAGCATTGGCAGGAGTGATGCCTTGAATGGGGCAGCAAGCCACATGTCATGCTGCTGCTAATGCTAACATTGCATTTTAAGCTCTGTGGAAGGGGATGGCAACCCCAGAAAAGAGATAGCAGCTGTGAAACATGACTAGCACAACTTGACTCTCCCACTGGGACTTGCTTAAGGTTTTTTTCTCTGTACAATTGCTGTGACATTGTAGGTGTTCAGCTTGTAGCTTTCTCAGAAACGGAACTACCTGGCAATAGGATGAAACTTTCTGGCGTTTGCTGTAGGACACAGGGACCATGCTGACAGAGAAAAGAGAAATTCCAGAAAACTGATGAATCTCAGCTGATTTTTGAAAAAGCTATTGTACAACCTTTTCCTATGGGCTATGAAGGCAGTCATTGCTGCAGCCTTTCGTTTGAGGTAACTCTTTTCGGTCTAGAAAAGTGCTGGCTTCCCAAGCTGGAAGTGATTTGCAGGTGAGCGATTCATGAACAGCTTCTGTGCAGGGGCATATGGATGCTCAAAAGCTCTTGGCTCCTCTCAGTTTCCTAACTGTGTGAAATGCTAGCACTCTAGCCCTATTGTAAGCCAGTATGGCAACTGCACTGGGAAAGAAAATGTGGTTGTTTTTGTTTCAGTAATATGGAGCTGTAACACAGTGCTGGGACAGGACTTCCCTTTTCATGGTGATGTGTACTGTAACAACTGCAAGCTCCAACCATCTTGTCAGACAGATTTGGTGTGAAATTAAACTTAAAACTCATCATATTTTGTTCTATTTTTAACAAGGCATCTCCAGCAAGCTGCAGTGAACTGAATGGCTTTAGTGTAGTCATCAGATGGGAGAAGTGTGAGAAAGAGCAAAGAGCTGTAGGAAGTGGGCAAAGTGGTTCAAGAAATTGTGCCGTGTCCTTGATCATCTTTGAGGAGAGGATGTTAGTAGGAACACGGCAGCACTTGGTGCTGGATAAGCTGCAAGGCTGAGGCTGTGGCCATTTGTGGTCAGTAAAAATTGCTTCTTGGCACTCTTCCTAGAAGTAGGTTTATTAAGTGAAATGTGTTGGCCAAATTCTAATTGAGTAAATCCATTCTGCCTCTCTCAGGACTCCTGAAGTATCGGCTGGGTATAATGTTTGTTACACAGGAAGAGAGAACTTGCTAATGGCACAGTAACTCAGCTCCTTAGAGTGGATTCTCATTTGATGTTAATATGTGTAGCTCAACTGGCTCCAGTGGGACCTCCTCTGATTTACACCCACAGAGAGTTTGACCTTTATTTTCTGCTGATGGCAGTGCCAAAATTATCAGGGCAAAATACAGAAAATAGGCAATAAACTAGTCATTGAAAAGTTTTTTTTCTTTTTATTACCAGACGTGTAGAGGTTCGGTTCTGCTCTGAGGATTTGTATCTGGTGAAAGCCTCTGCTCATCTCTGTATTTCTGCTGTGCATTGCTTCTGCCTTACAGCAAAGCGGTGGCCCACCAGTCTGCAGTGAAGTCATTCCTCAACACTTACAGCTTGAAAAGCATTTTAGGATCCTCTGAGGTAAAAAGCATTGTATGCTATGTGTTTTGCTAATTGATGCATAGAACAATTCATGCAAGTAAGAGGGCTTCTTGAACATTTTTTTGCTTTCTGTCACGAGAAAGAGAATATTTTGCTAATTCTGAGCTTATTTTGTTGAATTTAAACTTGTGTTTTAATTTTCAGCAAATGTGAGATATTTTTCTTCATCTCTTTCTTGTCTTGTAACTCATGGCTGCAAGGTGTGACATCTAAGTCCAACTTCAGTATCTTTTTTTTGTGTGTGCTGACTAGCATGTTTTGCCAAAGCTGCCCTTCTTTTAGGCTGGATTGCAAGTGCTTCACCTGCACCTCAAAGGTGAATCCTAGTAACTTTGTCAGAAACAGACACACAATTAAGCCTCTCCCTCCTTGTCTCTTTTCTTTGTTTATCCCTTTTGCTGCTGTTTCTCCCCCAAGGTCCTGAAGCGCAAGACCTGCTGCCTTGTTTCACAGTGCCTGTGAAACAAGCTGTCCTATGCCACGCTTGATCATCTGCAGCCTACGAGCAATGACAATTTGACACATCATGTTGGGTCGAGTGCCATGAGTGGCTGGGGCTTCTGGGCAGCCACAGCTGTCATCCAAGTGAAGCTGTGAGCCAGCGGGGTCACAACCGATGTCTCCTGCTTCATCTTTGAAAGGGATGTTGGAAAGCCTTTTCTAAATAGGAGAGACAGCATTGCAAAGTGGTGAACCGTATTACTGCCAGCAGTTGATGGGGAGTTCACAAACACTGCAAATGCCATTTCTCACACCTTTTCCTTGCCTTCCTTCATGCTTTGTCTGCTCTTTGTGATTGCCCTTTGGCTAAGCACAGCTGATGGTTGAAGGGAATGGCAATGCAGGGATATCTTGTGGGCCCAAGAGCGAAGCAAGTCCTATTGTAATTCCCCAATAAGGAAGTCTCGGTTCCATACTGATGAGTACAACTCTGCTCATAGCAAAGAGAGCTGGTGAGGGTATCACCCATGGTTGGTTACAGTCTGATTGATAAAGAGACTTAAAGCTAACTTTAGCAGTAAAGCTTATAAAAATGCTACACCATATTATAGGTATCCTTCTTTTGTGCTGTTCTGTTGCTGAAGTTGTGTCACCTGGATTATGTATTTCTGTGCCTGTTTCTACCTCTTTTCTGTTTTTGTGGGAAAAGTTAAGCTGAAACAGATCAGCTTTTCCACTGACCACAGCTAAAATCTCTTTTTTTGTGGGCTTTAACATTTCCTACCAATCTCTCACCAATAAGGTGTATCAAGATGGCAAAAATATCTTTGTTTTGCCACAGCAATTAGGTGAGAGTGTCATGATAGTGTCATGGATGTGATTTTAGCTGTCATCCTGAAAATCCTCTCAGATGTGGATAAATTATGGGTTGCTGAAAAAGATTGTTTTACATGTTCAGCAGGGGAGTTGTTAAATATTTGAGTTGACTAAGATCAGACATGCAGAACAGGAAAACACATATTTTGTTTTCTTCTTTTGCAGCTTTTGCAAATCAAAGGCTGTTGCTGGTTTGGAAGCAATACAGCAATGAATTGGTTTTAATAAGAGTACAGAAGGACACAGCTACCATTGCCACCTTTCCTCCCCCCAAATCTGTGCCTTACGGTATGGGAAAAAAGTATATGAAATATAAGCAAGGCTGAAGGAGCAACCATAGCGGACGGACTGATGAGACTGGCAATGTCAGGAACAGAATGGTAGTAAGGATGAACTGTAGGGAAGTAGCATGCATCTCTGCTGCTTACTCCATTTCAGTGACCACAGAAGGGTGCTGGGTTTCTGCCTCTTGAGTGGTAACTGAGGCAAGTGCCTTGAATTGTGCGGATTGCAATCCCAAAGGCTTTTCATGAGGATACTGGTATGTGAAGGGGCAGTTTTGCATAGGGCACCAGTACTGGAAGACAGCAAGAGGAGGCCAGCAGCTTATGGTGAAATGAATGAGGGAAAACTAAATAACACGAGAATGGTAATGTCAGCTTAAATTGCCAGTCTGACATTATGGATGGTGAATGGGTACACAACTAAATTTTCTAGATTTTCTGCCTCTGTTGAGGGTGCTGCCTCCTACAGGCCATGAGATTACATGTAAGTCACCCCTATGGTGTGATTGTAAATGCTCCATCCAGTCTGGGGCCAGCCAGAATCTTCCCTATGCTTTTGTTCTTCCATCTCTTGCAAACACATGAGGCTGAGTCCATAGTAAAAGCTTTCAGCATTGTACGTAAGCATTGAGAATGAGGAAGAAACTGCTGGGACGAAGTGCAAGTTGGTAGAGAGCATGGAAGAGCAGAAGGAACTGGCATGTGGGTAGAAGTTCTTAGAGTAATGAGAATTGCAAGAATGTGAGTGCAGTTTTAGATGCAAAAATGAAAGAAGGCCAAAATGAGGAAGGAGAAATAGAGTGGGAGTGATCTTTCCCTGGAGGTTGTGTAATTATTCATGAGGAACGAGGCTGTAGGAATCAATCATAACTATGTAGAAACTTTTTATCTGTAGGATCCTTGTCTCCCTGTTGAAGTTGGAAGGTATGAGGCAACTGTTATGTAACTGAAAACGTGACCATAATGCTTATGCAAAATGGAACCAAGTTACAAGGACATGTCAATCATTGTCATTATGTAATTGAATATTTGACTGTATGAGACAACCACAACAATTAAAGGTATTCTAAAGGCCTACTTTAAAAAAATAAGACTTGGTTACATGCAGGAAATTCCAAAACTGACAACAGAATCAAATGAGATCAAGAAAGAGAAGAAAAAAGAAAAGGTATTTAAATTACATTAATTTTAAAACCACCCTTAAAAAAAAAAAACAAACAGAGCATGTTATGGAAACCAGATTTCTACAGACTCAAGGCAGTAGAAACTAAAAGTAAATCAGTGAATACAGCTTCTTTTCTTAGGATAAAATTTTGTTATAAGCTAACAGTTTCACAGGCACATAAGTGTCTTGGTTTTCAGAGTGCCTTGGTTGACTTGCTTAGGACCTTGATTCTGAGTGTGTGGTGGGATTCCTCTTACCTAACTAATGTAGACACCTAATATTTGTCATTTTAAATTTAAGATGGTTATTTTGGGCTGATTCAGAATCAGAGAAGAGAAAGACTTCTTCAGTCTGGGATGTCTGTTTTACCAGGGGATGACTTGTCCTCAAGAAACGCCTATTATCTCTATTACTTATAAAAAGAGCTTAAGACTTAAATGATCCACTTTCAGGTGATTCAAGGCATGAAATAAGTCCTGTCAGCTTAATATAAGACATCTACCTTTGGAATCTGTAGCTCTAATAGCTACTTGTTGATCTATATTTGAATAACCAACGTTTGCAAATTGTGCTCTGTATATTTGAGTTAGCTCTCAGTGAATGAATGAGCAGTGCAGATGCAGATGTACTCAGCCAGGTTGCTGACATGCTAGCAGGAAGCAAAGATTCAAACCTCACTTTTGGAGGGTGACGTGCAGGAAAGAATGTGTGACCACAGTTGCCCACATTCTGTCAAAGCTGGCATCTTTTCTCTTAATTCAACTGTATTTCAATTTTGGCTTAAATGATCAGATTCTCCTTCAGGGCTGCTTGAGAGTTTTCTCTAGCCATGGGTTTGTTTGATTGTAATATTTAGCTTTCCAGCATCTGTATATCTCATGTTACTGCCCTTTTCAGATTATTACGCTATTCAGATCACAATGCAGAAGAGTTAGACTGCATTCAGAGGAAGAAGATGAAAAACAGGAGATGTGCCAACAGGATTTTTGTGTCAGTGTTCTTCCCTAGGGCCATCTTACTCGCCTTGCTTGAGACCAGACAGCTGTCTTGGTAGCTACACCCTTCCCTGCTTCCTTCCTCATCCTTGTTCTTGATGTCAAAATCAGTACTTCTGGTTTGGCAGTTCCGACACGGGGGAGAAATTACTAGGCAATGGTGTACTGACAAGCAGATAGGAGAGTCGTTTAGAAGAGAAGTGGAAATACATCTGGTCCCCAGAAAGAACAGAGATTCCTGCTTTCCTGATGCGCATTTGCTTCTGGGCTGCTGACTTGAACAGGGTGACAGATAAGTGCATGCCTTTCTCCTGGTTGCATCAGCATGTACAACAGAGTCAGAAGGAACCTTCAGTGAACAGAGGTTTATGTGGCTGTGCCCGGGAGGGATCACAGCATCCTGAAGCATCATCACAGGGATATCTCCTGGTGTAGTCTCTGCCTTTTGCCTTGGCTTAAGTGCTGGAATCTGCACCCAGCTTCTGAACTTCCAGGCTTCTGAGCTCATTTGCTGGCTGACAGCAGGCAGGAGTTCCTCTATTGGTATCATGTTCCCAAATCGTATGACAAACAATTGGGCTTATTTTAGATGCAGAAAGAAGTTTGTAATCCCTACCTTGGGAATTACCATCAGCTTAGGAATTAGTGTTCTTTTCAGTCATTTTATGAGGAATCTAGAAAAGATCTCCCTTCTCCCATTGTTCTGTTGAAAACAAAACCTCCTGTCAAGTACAAAGCAGAAAAGACAAATTCAGAGTAAGACTAAAAGTTGGTGGGTATTCAGTCCCATAGTGCTCCGTGGTAGTTTACTCATTTACCATCACCTTTTGCTATTACAGCTCACTTTGGATATGGCTGACCACACTGATGATTTCACTATTTTACTTTATAATCACAGATTCCTTTCTCCTCATTTATCTCTGCATTTCCAAGTAGGCCATCCTTTATTGCAATATATCAAACAGATATAATTAATTATGAGACTTTAAGTATATGTATGAAAATAGCAATGATTTTTGAAACATGTAACTTCAGCATTTCAAAATTATTTTGTTGAAGGAGATGACTCATGACTGGGAAAAAAGATACTGTAATTTTGTTGAATTTTCCTATCATTAAGAAAATATTATGCTTTAATCATGAAAGACAGCAAAACATGCAGACCAAGTAAAACTGGATAGTGGTATCAAAGAGAAGTGCATTATATTTGTCTACAAGTATGTATTTTTATATGTGTTTTAGCACTCACTTTTTTTTTAAAACAAACGAATTTGAGAAACGAAGTAGAACTGTGGTTCGTTTAATATGAGCCTGAACTCTTCTTTGTCTTCAGTCTACTGCTTCCATATCTGTATCCCCTTTTTGCTCTGCAGGCTGATCCTGGACAAACAGCTCTGCTATATCATCCACGTGTTCTACAGCTTTTGGTGTGCTGTTGGTGGATGCTGGCATATTTCCAAGGGGAGCAGATGTGTTTTGCATAGGTGTTGGCACACCTTCAGGGGTTGCTGGCATGATTCTGGGAGATGTTGGCACACCTTCTGTAGGTATTGGCACGCTTTCTGTAGGTGTTGGCACCATTTCTGTGGGCATGGGCATGCTTTTGGTGGGCTTTGGCATGTTCTCGATGGGTGTTGTGTTTTCAGAGGATGCTGGCATGTGTTCAGGGGGTCCTGATGTGCTCATGCTGAACTGCTCACAGTGGTTCCCAGCCTCTGACTGTGAGGTGAGATGACAGGGGAGTTCTGGTACAGAGATGGCTTTACACATTTGAACATCGCATGTCTCTGGATTGCTGCTGTTGCTTGGAAAGGTCTCCTCTGCTGAGTGGGACACCCTGAAAGCTTCAGCCAGCTCCTGCAGCATGTTCTTGTCAGCAGCACATAGCTCAATGCTTGCCTGCTCACTGGAGGAAGGGTTTGTATTGGCATCGTCGTCTTCTTCTAAGATATCATTTCCATTCACCTCTTCAGGGAGCTGTGCTTGTTTTATTTTTCTGTACAGTTCATTCCTCTCTTCCTGCAGAGCTCGGCAAAGGTTCTCTAGCCTCTGGATTTTCAACACAAAGCACTCATATTCCTTGGTCCTCATGGCTTTCTGTGGTCAGAGACATTAGACAAAGGCACAGGCTGAGTTTGTGTGCATGCAGTTCATTTGTGGAATTAGCAATTAGGAAACAATTTGAGATCTAGGCAGTCCTCACAGGACTCTGCAAGGTGTCTGGCTTTCTCAAACTGCTCTGTGATTACCATGACCTTTGGTACCAAGGCTGCAAGAGGAAATTTGCCCTTGTTTCTGTACTGCATTAACTTTGGCCATAAAGATTGCACCAAGAAATATTTGCAGGAACACCTGTCAACAATCTGTAGAGATAGAAGAACATACTGTATCTTCATACAGAAATGGATCCAGAATCCCACCTCAACCTCAGTTTCAATGAGGCTGAGTGTGTGGGTTGTTTGTTTGTTTTGTGTGTGGGTTTTTTGTTTTGTTTTCTTTTTTTTTTTTTTGGGGGGGGGGGGAATCTCTGTAAATTTTTATTTTTTTTTTAACTTTCCTTCTAGATTCTGTGAGAGTTGCCTGACTTTGAACATTTTCTTGCTTCTACACCCAGTGAGGAATCAAGAAATATCAAAATCCATAGAAATGGACAGAACTATAAAACTAGCCAGAAAGACTCAGTCCAAGTTCATTGTAAGTCTGGGCTGAAACTTCAGGCAGGCTCTTATCTTATCTGAATGAGTTCCAACATGCTTACTAATTTCCTCTTCACTGTTTCTCTGACATCGTGGTTAAAACTATAGTAAGACACAATGCTTGCTTTTGGCTCTTAGAGTTTGCCTGCACAAGAAGTTAACAAAAGGAGTGAATTTAAAATTTGTTTGCTACGGCACATTTACTCTCTGAGTGAATGCTCTTATGCAGAAAGAAAGTATCTTAAAGTGAACTAATGCCAATTTGCTTCTCTGTGAGAGCATTCACTATCATGCATTTTTAGAGCACTTAAAATTCACAGTGACATAGTTCAGTTTGCTGTGGACATAATGAATATTTCAGCATAATCTAAAAGTCCCAGTAGTTGTGATGTTTGTGATGTTTGTCTTTTTTTTCTTTTAAAAGATCCAATAACCAAGGTAACTTGAAAAAAATGACCCTTAGATTCAACATATATTTTTTTTTTACTTTTGACAGTTCATTGCATTTCCCACTTAAACTGTTATGTGGTGGAAGGGGTGCATCAAAAAGCCCGCTCACCTCTTCGATCATATCCAGTAATGCTCTGTTACAGTTCTCAAACCTGGATTTCCATGTAGCAGTATCCTTTTCCAACTTCTTCATTTTCTTTGTCATCTATAAAATCAAGAAGAAAAGCTGAATCACAATAGCAGTCCCACACTGCAGATGGAATTAGGACAGCCCTTTCACTCAGGTCTCTGTCTGTAGTCATAACTGTTCTCCAAAATATGCAGAAATGTCCTAATCCCAGTTAAACTTACTGCACTGTGACATATCAAAATGGAAGTGTCAAGAACAGAGTTCAGATGTTAGCTGCTACTTACTTTCTCCATCTCCTGTTTGAAGGTAGCAAACACTTCATTGCTTTTTGTCAATGTTTTCTGAAATTCTTCAAATCTCTCAGAGTAGAGAGTGATCTACATTAACAAGAAAAAGAAAAACAATGATTTCAGAGTTTCCAGAGCAGTGAACTGAATGATAATACCTTGCTTAAGTAGAAGATAATACAACAGGTTGGGGTTTTTTTGGACATGTGTTTGGATACTAATGAAGCACCAACATAAGTGACCTAAAATTCTGTGTATATTTTTAAGATTGCAAACTATTATCATTTGTTTGTTGCAGAAAGATAAAATGAAGAATAGGAAGACCTGGGCTGGTGACCTTTAAAAAGTCTCTGTGTTGGTTGCCCAGAAATGAAAGAATTCTCTAGAAGTGGAAGACTAGTGGAAACATCTCCCTAAGTAACTCCATAGAGGCTTCAGGAGGACAGCATTAAAATCTGCCTAGATTTCCAGCCCCCTGCTTTCTTCACAAGCTCTTTATACAATAGAGGCTGACTTCTTTAGGGTAACCTATGGAACAGAAAGTGGTAATGGGTTAAGTGAGCCATCTCTGTTAGTGCACTGGGCTACTGGAGCGTGGCAGGGACTATCCTGAGTTGGTATGACCACTGATGTGGGGTAGGACTGGGCAATGGGGTCAGCTCTAGGTAAGATTCAGAACTGTGTCTGAGCTAGCACTAAGCCAAGGCTTAGAAGAAGAAGAAGGCTTAGCTTAGATTCATCTAGCTGTTCACCTGGCTTATCAGATACCCAGCAAGCCAGGATAAGAGCTAGGTGTTTCCTGATTACCTTGCTTCTGAAGTCTGAGAGACCTGGGGAAAAGGCATAGTGAAAACCCTGGAGGTGTTCAAGAGACATGTGGGTGTGGCACTGAGAGACATGGCTTAGTGGGCATGGTGGTGATGAGTTGACTGTCGGTCTAGGTGATCTTAGAAGTCTTTTCCAATCTTACTGATTCTATGACTCTATGATCACCACATCATACTGTAACCACTTCACCTCTCCTATCATTGCAATCCCAGCCCTGTGGCTCGGGTCCATAGCATCAGGCAACACTCCATGCTTCACTTTATGCCACCACTGAATAGGAGCATCTCTACTATTTCCCTGTGTTATTTGACATGGGGGCACCCTGCTCCTGAGCAAAGCCCAGCCTCTGCATGAGGCCAACCTGCGTGCATCCCTGTGCTGTAGCTTAGGAGAGTTGAGTGGGCTCTCTGTCAGCTCTATTTTGCAGCCTGTGTGTTCTACAGCTGGAGGCAAGGCCAGCAAGGACAGTGAAAATAATCTCCTGGCATCCTCTTCTGCCAGCTTCACTTCATTTCATGAAGAACAGAAAAAATATCTTCAGCAGTATGCCAGAATTTAAGACTAGGCAGGGTTTGTATTTTGCTATCAGTTTACCTCTGGTAGTCGCATGAATGTTCATCTGTGGCTGCACTTTGTTGTAAGCCATATTTCCCTGTTTTTCCACATAAAATCTGTGAATGTTTTTAAAAACTCTGTTCTAAAGATCCGAGGTTTGGTTTTTATATCAAATTCCCTCAGTTTCTCCTTTTCCTTTTATTTACCTATTTATTTATTTTTCCTCCCCTCATCCCAGGTGGAGAAAGTGCTTCCAAAGCTCCAAAACCATGCAGGATGCTTTCTCTATTAAGTACAGATATCAGCTGTTCTGAAATAATCTCAGATGTTTTCTGGTCCCTGGGCACCCCAACAACGCTGAGATGGTTTGACAGTTCATCAGCCCAGCCTGATAGCTCTTGTTAGAGCAATTGGCAGGCTGTATGGTGGGTGCAGAAGAGTTAGAGGCTCTGAGCAGCTGACGAGACCAGCTGCCCTCTCCCACACCTGTGTGGAGCTGAAAAAATGATTAACCAGGAGCTTTTATTTCCCCTGGTGCCTGCCAGTGCACATTTCCCTTGATGTTGCACTGAGGGAAAGAGGATATAGAAAATGTCACTAATAATGGGGTAGGTTTAGTCCTGATTTTCAAATTGGATATGGTTATATTATGATTTATTTTCATTCTGATTAGCTGTTACGGTGCCTCTGGGAATATGTCATTGCCATAATTGCAGTGTAGTGTGGATTTGCCCAAGCTAAGTTTAAATGAGGCAGTTAGGGCCTTGGTGGCTGTGAACGCACCTCTGGTTGCAGCCCTTCCCTGCCAAGCTGGTAAATGCATGGCAGGTTAATCCCTGCAGAGCTCTGGGCTGCTGATGTTAGAGCTCATTGACAAACAGCATACGCCTGTGTATTTATGTTAGACTGCAGCCAGGGCTGTGACTCATACACAAACAGAAACTTGGAAAGCTTTACTTTAGCAGCCCAAGTGCCACCATATAGATGGGACCCTGATGCCAAGTGCGCTTTTTCAGTCAACCTGATGGCTCTATAGAGCCATCTGCTGCGAGGTGAGGAGACTGGCACGAGAGCCTGGGTTGAGACCTTCTCTTACAATCATAGAATATCCTGGGTAGGAAGGGTCCCATAAGAATCACGGAGCCCAACCCCGGGCTCCACACAGCACCACCCAAAATCCAAACCCTATGTCTGAGAGTGCTGTCCAAATGCTCCTTGAACTCCAGCAGCATGCTGTGCCCTCATGCCAACTGCCCTCTGGTTAAGAACTGTATTATATCTCCTCCTTGTCTCACTGACCAGTGTGTTCTCATAATGCCCATGCAGTTGTCCTGCAATTACTTATTGGTTATTTCATGCATCAGGGAGCTTTTTATGCTTTCTGTTTTGTGCTTGTACGGTGGCATCTGGTCCATGAGGGAGATCCATCAATGCTACCATACTGGAAACAGTACTAATTATTATTATTATTATTCTCAGTAATTCCAAGTGGAGGCTGCTGTGTGGGTGCCAGAGCTCACATACTTGAGAAGAACAACTAACTGCATGTTTCACTTCAGCACGTGAACCCCTTAATTTTAATATAAGCAAGTCTGCAAGGGGCACATGTATTATCAGTGCCTTTGCAGGCTTGTTTGACTGGATTTTCTCTAAAACCATTTTTTTCCATTTCAAATGTGTGCTTAATATATTCTGGTTCTTATCAGTGCCTTCACTTTCATTACGCTGGCTATAGAGGTCTGCCTGCATACAAAACTCTTGCTAGCTGAACATAAAAGTGTAACTAAAACCACTCAGAAAATTGACCTGCATTTGGGACTAACTCAGCTGGAGGCCTTTGAGGTTTGATGACAGAAGCTGTCAAACAAGTATCCACAGCAGTTCATGTGATGTTCTTTAGTGTGCTACCTGCTTATCTCAGTCTTTGGAAAAAACTTATGAAGGACAGCAGCTCTCTTACCATGTCTCCAGGTTGTCATTTTAACTCTAGCCCTTCTTGACTGCTCAACAGATAGGAGTTGGATCGTCTGCAAGAGCAGAACTGGAACAACTTAGTAGTGTGCCAAGCCATAAGCAAGGGCACTGAATATCCCTGCTGATGGGTGAGGAGCTGAATGGCTGCAGGACCAAGTGCCCTAAAATTCTGTGGGGAGGGACCATTCTCACAGACAAGTGGAAGAAGATAAGTTTACATGGCTAGTTTTTTAAGTGTAGGAAAATCTACTGATGCTGTCTCTTTTTGATATGAAAGTCTGTCATATCATTTAGATTTCTCACTTGCATTTAAGGTCGATTATTGCATTGCATTCAAAGCGTAGGAGGTAACTTTTTTATCCATTGCCTGTTTCTTGTTTTACTGTCTTTTGCTACAGCCTGACTTTTAATATAATTTGGGGAAATCATTTTATTTTATAGAATATTTCAGAATCTAAACACTGAAATCCTAGAGGTCCCTTGTATAAGCCCTCAGTTGGCAAAAATCAAGATAAAATTGATAAAAGCTCTGTTGTTACACCCCAGACTAGAAAACTGCATAGCACATCAGTTCCAATTTGGTGTATGTGTTTCATGTTTGTACCTCAGCATTGTGCTGGATTAGAGGCATGCATGCAGGATATTTCTGCTAATTAATCAAGCCAAGATACTCATACTGTTTTGTGGTTTAGCACTGTAGACACTCATAAATGCCACAGTGTGATGTGCAGTATGGGACGCTGTGTTGGCTTCACAGTAGTTTGTGTGATGAAGAACGAAGCTAGAAAGGATTCACAAAAAATAATTTGAATACCTAAAATATGTGTAATGGGCTAAAAATGGGCAAACAAAGACACACCATGCAATCACCTCTCCTACGTCACCTGTGCCTGCAGGACTGTCTCCTGTTCCTTTAACATTTTGGCCTGTAGCTTCCATTCTGCAGCTTGATTGAGGAGCTGTGTTTTGAGCAACAGAGAGAAAATTGTTAGATCCTGTTTCATCAGCCGGAAACCCTCAATCTACAGCTTCATATGCTTTTGTTACTGCTGACTTAGTAAGTAGTGATTTAACTCTCATATAAATGTAGCTGGAGAAATTAGGCAAGATAGAATATTTATTGCTATCCTAAGAAGAAGGATACTTGAATATTAGCTCAAAACCTGTTTAGAATGAGAAGTGCAGTATCATATGCTCTAAGAGGTATGATGTTTAACCATATCTTCATGTGAATTGTGGAGAATGGTTACAGCACCTTCTGGTACTGTCATTTCAGTGCAGCTCAGATTAAATTCCTGATTTCCTGTGAACGGTATGTTTTCTTTTGCATTAATGATCAGTACTTAGCCTACAGATGTGTTCACAGTCAGACTTGTGTAAAAAAATCTGCAAGCTTCCAGGAAGGGAATGCATAGTGTCAGACAAAAACAAGCTCTGGTGTCTTGTTGTTGTAGAGCTCTTTTTCACTGATGTGCCTTCAGAGGAGACACCCAGCTCAGGGTGATAAATGCCTCACTTAGATCAAGAAGGCAGCCCAGGAACAGCTTGATTGCAGTTTCATCCCTGGCTGCTCCTGGGAAGATGTTATCCCTTTTTCAGGGTATTAGCAAAATGACATTTGGACATGTGGACTGCACACTGGAAGATCAGCTGAGGGTAGGAAATTGTAGGAAAGAGATACATAGACTGCTACAGAGTGCAGTTTGAAATCAGCACTTTCAAAGTGCTTAGTAATAGTCTAGCAATTGGTTTGATCTGAAAGCATGAAATATTGATGAATATTGATAAATAAATGAAATATTTATTGAAGCGTTAAAGAAATGCCTATTGTCTGCCAAACATGTATCAAGTGTTACTTTTACTGGCTAGGCCAAATGTATTTCAGGAAAAAAATGCAAGTGGTAACTTGAGAAATGATGACATAGGATATAAATAATTTAGTTTGCCACAGAATTTCTTCTGTTGGACTTAATTGTACCATTTGAAATGGCAAAGCTGGACTCTGAAGCATTTTTAGAAAAGTACTGTATAAGTCAGTAGAAACCACTTCTATTGGAAGTGAAAGGTGAGTAGAATTACATGTAGAAAAAGTATTTGATTATAGTAAAAACTTTGATTCTAAACATTTACTTAGAAATAACACATTCAAACTACTTAATGCCACCTGGCAAAAGGGAAGAGGACACACCTTACAAATGCTGGTTGAACAGTATAATGAATTCTCTCCATCTCCAGCTATTTGTGGCAAAGAGAGTGAATAAGATTTATTGTATATAAATATATAAACTTATGCGTATATATATTTATATATAAACTAGAAAAACATTTCTTCCATCCATTTGTCCCTCTGATGCAAATCCACTGAATTATTCACATCTACCGTTTCCTGGACAGGAATGATTTGATTTCTACTTGGTGATTTATTTTGTTTCGAGGATTTGAAGGGTATCTGGATCAAATGATTTAATGAAAAGTGCTTTGAAAACATCCAGAGCTACTCAACCCCAGGCCAGTCATTACTTCCAAGAACTGGGCTTTTATCTGTACTCCTTAAATCTTGTCTAGGGTTACCTTCTTTTCCAGGATGTCTGAGGTAATGAAGAGGTCACACCTGCACTGCCATGTCTTCTGCTACAGTACGAAAGATGTAAGATGGGCAGAGAAGGCAACGAAAAGCCACTTCTTTTGCCTGCTAATGAGATTGTTCTGTACTATTGACCCATATCACTTCTGTAGCCATTGAAAATCTAAGAGTTAATAAACTATTCTGTAAGGGAAGCAAGCCTCAGAGAGGTTTGCCCGAATTAACGTGCAGCCTGGGGTCATCTGCAAACACCAAGCTGAGAGAAACTGCATCATGAGAACCGATACATGTATTAATCGGCTATGAAGTAGTAACAAGGAGCCTGTATAACAAAACGAATAAATACTGAATGTGGTGTTTACAAAACAGCACTTCAGTGAAGTGTGGTGATGTTATAAGATATAATTAGAGCTATGATAGCTGCTGAAGGCCCAGGCAGTCATATCATGCTCGTGGCTAAAGGAACAAGAACACTCATTCCCATTTAATGACATAGATCTAGGGAATGGCTTTGTGAAAATTGTTTCTCTCTTTTTTGCTGCCATACTTTGCGTATTCCAATTATGTAGACATCTGATCATTACCTTTCAGTCACACGCTTGAAAGTCACAGAGGCTTTAAACTGCAATTAACTACAGTTCAGAGTTTGCTTTATGAGTGCTAAAAACATATGGTATGTTGGGAGAGTCACAAATAGTGCCGAGTAGTTATGGGATGATGGCAAAACCGCATCCTTAGATCAGGCTAACCCTTTGGGGGCCATCATGCTGCTACACAGTGTGGATGATTGCTACTTACATAGGGGACCACATTCTTGCTGTATGCGTAGAATGAATTGTGCAAGCAATAAGACAATTTTGTAAGAGATTTTGCCTACTGAGCTGTGGTTTGCATGCTCTGCAGGAGAGGACATCTCTCCCTAAATGAGATAAAGAAATTTTGTATAGGAGCAAAGATTCCTGTATGGAAGAACTGTGTAGGAAAACATCAAAGTGAGCCTCCAAGGAGTAATCAAATAGATAAAGAATACAGAAATTTTCATTTAAAGACATCTGAAAAGTCCTGCAGCAAAACTCATGCACAAGGATGTACAAAATTTGTATGCAGAGAATTGGTATGGACAGGATGCTGAAGAAAGGGCTCTGACTCTGTGCAATTGAGCTAATGAGAGGTAACCCTAAATGAAAGGACTCAGTCAAAAACATCTTGATTTCATACATATATATATATATATATATATACATACTCTCACACAGTAGCTGAGTGGGTGGGAGTAAGAGCTTGGCATTATGAGTGAGGTGGGAGACTAGTGTAGGCCAGCTATCTGGGTGCTGGGCTGACTGATGAATTGGGATGTGCTGATTATGCCTTGACTCATTGCATGGCTTTTGGCTAATCACTTATATTCTCCAACTAAAGCTACCTTGCTCCAAAGTGATGTTACTAATATATCACCTGACTCCCTCTAAGGCAAGTCTTTTCGAGCATTAGCTTCAATAGTGTGAAAAAAGTCTTTGAACACAATGCATCTCATTATACACCCACAGCTTAAAGGCTTTGTAGCTTGTTTTTGAATCTGCTGTTTCATAGATGCCAGTCATATGTTCAGCAAAGCCAGAAAGGAAATCTCCCACTCCTGTATGTATGTAGATGGTGATGACTTTTGTTGCTATATAAGAAATGAAAATAACTAAACTATGCATATCTGTGCAGAATAAATTGTAATGAGAAACTTTGGCTACAAACTGGGCACAGTAGCACAGTCACAGTAGCACACAGCCCAAGGCTAAGACTCTCTGAGCAGCAGAAGAAGAGTCACTGATACTTGGCTGTATGTGAGTTTTGTACAGAGCTAGTGCCCTGCCTTTTATGTATTTTTTTTGTTTTTTCAGTGTCTGAAATCTTGCACTCAGTAAGAAGACCCACAGTGGTAGCAGTAAAATAAGCCCAGATTTGATTTTTGTTGTAAGGGATTTATCGGGAATATTTCCTGGACTTTGAATCTGCTAAATCTTCTGAGTTTCTACTGCCATGAATAAAATTTGGGGTTTTGGCTTTACACAGATCCCACAGTGAAAGGATAGGCACAGCCAGACCATGCACTGTCATACAGAGACACGCAGATGTGCACTTGGAGCAGTCCCAGCTGCTCCGGCCCCCCCCCCCCCCCTTCCGTAGTTTTTAGCCAGCAGAAAAGATTTGTAACCTACTTTAGGGAACTTGCTTTGTCAGGGTTTTGGTCTAGGTGATCTCCAGAGGTACCTTCCAACCTCTGTGATTAAGTGGGAGTGGGTGTCCTAGCCACAAGGCCAATGCAAAGAAAGAGGATAAATGCTTTTATGAACAATTTTTGGTGAGAGGTGTTTGCTGTGTTTCCTTTGTACACTATCCCATAGTTTCATCCACAGTCACCATCCCTGGAGGTGTTCAAGAAACGTTTAGATGTTGTACTGAGAGACATGGTTTAGTGGGTGGTAGGCGGACATTTGGGCTGGATAATCAGGTAGATCTTGTGATATTTAGGCTATGCTGGTGCTAATACATCTCTTTCCAGACATGGGGATGGAATAAAAGTCCTCTCAGAGTTCTTTGATGCAACTCCTGAGCTAATCAGAGGACTGCTATGGACTACAGCTTTCTTTCAGCTGTTGAGAGCCTGGAACTTCCCTATACATAGCCTTGGCTGCAGCCACTGCTGAGAAAAGGATCTGTGTGCAAAAGGATCTGTGTACCAATGGAGAATGTTGGTAGATGTTAGATAGTTGTGAAAATGCTAGGCAGCCTGAGGAAGTACATTTTGAACCAACATGGAGAGGGAGGCTCTGCAGAAGAGAATCACAGAATATATATCTATATATACTATATAGATATATATTATATATAATATTGTATATTACATATAATATATATCTAGAATTGGAAGAGACCCACAAGGATCATTGTGTCCAACTCCTGGTTTCACACAGGACTGCCCAAAAGGTGGACTTAACTGCATCAGCTCCTGGTCACCTCCGTTTATAAAACTGGACACACAGAAGGTTGACTGGGAAGACTGAGCCTGGAGGGATATTGGCCTTCAACTGATTCAATCACAAGCACAAACCCTGCTTGTTTAAGTGTGATCATTTACCATATGAAGAGATGGAGTATCAAATATCAGAGCCTTTAAAAAAAACTGATGGCATCATTTGACACATTGTGACAAATCAGCAGAGCAGTAGTGGTGAGTTTGCTGGAGAAGTCTGTGCTATAACCTACTGCTCACAATCTTCAAAATCTATAAATGCTCCTGAAAATAGCCTTTCAGATGCTACTGCTTTGCATCAAGCACTATCAGAAGTAATAAATCCTTGTCTTATGCTACCCTGCTTCTGTGTCATGGCTTGGACCAGAATAACCAATATATTACTGAAATATTATGCAGCTCTCATCTTGTCCTTCAGTTAGGTAAAAGACAGATAGATTAGCACGATAAGTACATATTCCTTTTCCTTCTGATGTCGCTCCTCTGCTTCCTTCATCATTTCCTGAGACTGCTCCAACTTGGCATCCACCAATTTCTGTTGAAGTTCTCTGTGCTTAAATATTTTGTCAAGGTGCTGCAAGAGAATAAATTCTGCTGAATGTGCAGGTTTAGTTGTGTACACAGACCTTCATGCTCATGCATGCACAGCTATCTACTGGGACACATAGAAGACAAAAATATTGCAGAACAGGAAGTTTCCCAACCCACTGCAGTTACAAAAAAGCCGTGGTGCTGATAAGAACAAACTGTGCCAGAATTTGCATAGGAAAGGAAATGTGTTTACATCATCTATTTTGATGGGTAACAAAAGAAAAACAACAACAACAACAACAAACCCTTAGCATCTTTTCCAGTTCCACAATACGTGTATCAAGTCATCTGTATAATCCAATATAGTTGTAGATTATAAAGCTGCCCATCAATTACAAATATGTTGGGGATGCACTTTTTTTTGGAGCTGCTAAGTGGCCTGTGGTTCTAAGCCATTGTGTGGGTAAATGTGTGATGACAGACTGCACCTCCAGTACTCAGGGAGTGCATGTGCAGCTCCTATTGTATATATATGCCTAGTACACCCCATTTGATCTGGCTTCACATAGATAATATGGGCTTGGAGTGCTTGGGTAAATGAAAGGGGATGTGGGACAGATGTGCCAGAGGTCTCCTATGGCCTGTAAAACTTCTCTCTCTGCAGTGACTTTCAGGAGGTGAGTGTTGCTGATTGCACTCTTCACTGATGCTGCATTTAGATAGAGCTCAATATTCTGAGCACATCCTTCTGCTTTACATTTTCCTTTCATAGAATCAATAAGACAGGAATGCACGTTTCCTTCATTCAGTGCAAGATTTCATACAAGATGCAACAGATTTAGGAATTAGTGTATTGCATCGGGCATTCCAGATTGTGAGGACAGGTTACTCATGTTTTATTCAGTATGATAATGTTGTCTGGTTGCACTGAGCCACACAATAAGCACATTTGGAAACAATAAAAAGACCCACTGCAATATGTGCTAGTGTTTGTCATAAAATCACCACAGAAATGGGAGCTTGGGAATTTTCTGAACTGCTCTAATGTTTATATTTAGAGATGTAATTTTCAATTCATCTATTATCTACTTGATTTTACTGTAAACGTTATTCCTGCAAAGAGGAGTCTATTCCAATGCAAAAGGCCTGCTTTACCCTGGTTATTAGCTTTGTTTCTGGGGAAGGGTCACCTCAGCAACCTGTGTCTGGGGGGATCAGAAGTACATTTGGCAGTGGGCTGGGCTGTCCAAAAAGATAGAACTGGGAGGTGCTCAGTGAGCACTCTGGAGTCCTTTGGGATTTGGGGGGAGCAGTGAGTGAACGGGGGTAGAGATTAGCAGGCAGCTTGCCATCTTGCTGCATGAGAACCTCAATCCCTTTCCCCACCACCATTAGATCTGCCACGAGTGCTGCATGCAGGGTGCCATTGGGTCAGCTTTTCACCCACATTTTCCATGTGGCATCCTGCTGGCTTGATGCATGTAGAGCCCCAACTGGACAGCAAAGCACAGCAGAAGCTACCCATGAGATGCCCAAATGATGGTCAGTGGGGATGACATGTTCAGAGTGCTTTCCACTTCCCTCCATGGAGCTGGGTTTGCTGCTGGTCCCCGTGGGCATTGCAATGCTCACCTCTTCCCGCAGCTCATACTGGTCAATAATGCTTTTCAGCTTCTCTGCCAGCTCTGTGTTCTCCTGGCAGAGCTTCATGTTCCTCTCACTTTGCTGCTCAATCTGAGCCTGGATTTCACTCAGCGTGCCCTGGAAATGGTTTGTTATTTCTTTCCTCTTCTCATCTTCCTCCCGTGCCCGCTGAATTGTTTCCTCCTGTAGTCAAATGGGAGAGAAGACAGGGTAAGTAAGATGCATAATAAAAGCGGTTCCAAAAGGAACTGTTTCAGAGTAGCACAAGGCTACTCTTTGAAGGATTATCTGTGTTTATATTCCTCTTCAGAGATTTTCTTGCTTTCATGTGCTCCAACATTAGGCATGATGCTAAATTTACAGAGCAAATTATACAGTGGTCTTGAAAAAATTATAGAACGAAGAATTTGCATGTGTAAAGATGGATGTAAAGCACAGTTTCAGATCAAAGCAATCCCTGAAAAGGGGATGTTCATGCATGCCTTAATTCATGAAACTGCAGCACAGCTTTTGCTTTGGAATAAGGTATTTAGTGAAAGTCATTGAAAGCCCTTTTATCAGATTTCTTTTTTATTTAATTTAAAATTCACTCTTTAAAACGCATCCTTTTAACTAGAAATCCTCGTACCAAGGTTATGGAATTTGAGGTTTCCACTTTTCAAGAGGGATAATTTTCTGTAGAATCCCTTTGCATTCCTCCTTCCCTTACCTTCTAACTGACAGTTATTGGAATGGGTAGAATCAAAGAAAGATCGTGGGCTGGCTCTCAAAGAATCAAAGCAGAGAATCAGAACCTGGCTTGGAGAAAGATTGATGGATTATGTTTTCACCAGTTATTGCAATTCTGTTTTGGATTTCGTTTTATTTATGAAAGAGAATGGGGAAATAATTTAGATTCATTGCTTTCAATCACAAAGTACGGACAATTTTATTTCCCGCTTGTTTACTTCCAGGGCAGCCTGCCCTGATGGAGAATGCAATCCTCATACAAAATGGCTGGTATCATATCTACTGTTGTTACAAATCATGCCAGAACCATTTTAAGAAATCTCTCCACAGCATGCAAATGGCACACTCTAATAAGGTTTCGACTATTTCAGCTATTCATTTACATAAAAGTCTCTGATAACACTGCATATGCATATTTTCTGTAAATACATCTGAATAAAGCTTTTGCTGACTCGAGTGAGGTATAATTTATATCATAAATGTGACAGAAAGGGTGTTGATTCAGGTCCTATTCTTAAAGCAAGTTGAATACCAAGTGCCCCAGCTCTATGCCCCAGCTCTACTTAGCATGCAAATCACAAGAGTGATCTTGAACAACTGCTGCTCAAGGTAGAGGACATTTGTCCTTTTGCTGCCAGGATGTGATAGAGATGACAATGCCTTGAATGACAGGAGGAAAACTCTTGGAGCCATCTGCTAATTATACAATAATGAGCAAAAATCACTCCAAAATCCTGTTTGTGCTCTGCACTTTACACAAGAACATGTGTGTGTGCTCACAAACAGAATAGAATGAAGTGTGACTCCAGAAGGGCTTCCTCTCAGAAGAGGTGGAATTATAGAGTGAACTGGGCAATGGCTCAGGGGTAGGGGATTCCTGCTTCAAAACCTGGTGTCAAAATTGAACACAAAAACTTGAGTTCCTTCATAGATTTAGTTAAATCAGAACTTTGTTTTACCTCTCATACGCTGTTTAAAAACTGCTCATGGCTCTTTCTTCTCTGTGGCATAGGCGCAGCCCTGAGCAGGGAGAAAAGCAACAAGGTGCCCTCCCTTCAAGAAGTCAAAGGCAGACTGAGAAACTAAACTTGTATGTCTGGAATCTTATTTCCATGGCTTTGAAACATCCTTCTTCAAAAATATTTTTTTTGTTTTAATGGACCAAACAGTGTCATAGCATAATGTCATTGCTCTGATTTAAAGCTCACTGAAGTAATAAATCCAGCTGAATGTAAAATGAAAAACTGGTGTCTTGCACGTAAGTCACACTAACAACTCTGTTATGAGGTGAAATTAGATATCTTGAGAGTAGTAATCATGCAAATATATATATATATTTTAAGAAAAGGGGATGTGTTACACAGAGAATATTGCATCCTGCTCATCCTTCCTTCTGAGTTGAATAATTATAAAGAGTACATGCAGAATGCAAAAATTCATGGTTAAGGATACCGAAAACCAAGAAGCCTCCTGATGCACGGCAGAATATTTATCTTGACCTCTTCTCCTTTGGAGAACAAGCCAAAAGATATCTGTCTGTGGGAGCTAGGGTGTGCCCCACAAGGCTCCTTGGAGTCCCTGTGCCAGGGAAACAAGAGCTCTCTGTGCCCGATGCTGTGCTGTACCACTGAGCTGTCTGCAACACTGCCACTCCTGTATGACTCTAGATTCTATTATCTTAAGGTAATATGGGCTCTGCCTCAAGAGTTTGCTCTTCTTTATCTCCTCACTTGGGCAGGCCCAGTCTGATAGCCTCAAGCCATCAGCATCACCCAGCCTATTATCACAAGGCTACAGCCCCAGCTCTTTCTTTAGACTTGGCCCCATAATGTGGCCTTTTTTTTTCCAGTAGGTGCCTTAATCTCTCCCATTTCAAGACTCCACACTGTTAAGAAGTTCCTTTAAAAGGAAGTTTGTCCCCATCTGGGAGGACTGAAGACTGCCCTCATTTACTGCTGTTACAGCCCTAGTAACTGTGTGGAACCCAGTGCCCCTGCCTTGCTTGGTTGTGGGAGCAGAGAAGAGTGTATTTGGGGCAGTGAGTTCTTGGCATCACCATGGTGAATTTATAATGATGCGAGAACCACACTGTCGCACTCTGTTTAATCTTTAAACACTTTGAAATTAGGCATTCAGTTCTAATGAGAAAAACAAATAAAAACAACATTGTAAATTCTTTTTTGATTTCCATTTGTGGAAGACTAAAATCCAGCCTTAAACTATTGTTCTCTTTCCTCTGCCCTTAATCTTCGTACTATCTGCCCTATACAAGGTATACTCTTGTGTCTTATAGCAGTACTGCTATCACTCTCCAGTGTTTTACTGCTAAAAATGTAAAAATGCATTGAATTAAACTAAAATTAAACTGTAAAACTAAGACAAAGGTATTCTGTAGTTTGGATTTAGCGCTGGAATGTGAAATAATCTGCAAATAGAAGTGCAACCTCATCTCTGGTCCTTATCTCTCTCTAGGACAAATCAAGACAACTGTTAATCTGCTGAAGCCCTATCAGCAGAAACGATGTTACTGCAGATTCCACATTTTCAGTGAGCTGTACTCACTCCCAGGCAGCCCAGTCTGAGCTTCAGGTCCGCAGTTTAGAGCCAAACCCATAATCAAAACTGTTGACTGTTGTGACATTTGTATGAAAGTCATTGCTTAATGCCTGTAGCAGGAAGGACAGGAGAGATTTATGTCACTACAAGACATTAAGTAGCCACCAGACTGTCAGATAATTGGCAGAACATGAACACAGTGCAAAGAAATGAGTTGCTATTGCTCTTAGCAGAGCTGTTCTCCATTGCAGTGGGAATATATTCTGTTATTTTCTGAACATTTATTTTGCTTTTCTTGGAGGGAGAATTAAGCATCTGTTTTCTGCTGTGAAATGTAACAGCAAAGAAATAATCTGAATAGCTGGACTGTAAGTAAGTGAAATTTTGAGGCCAGTATCCAACACTAGCCAGCAATTATCTTCTCTGATGCACTGTGGATTTTCAGTGCAGCTCTGCATTGCATATTCATCGCCACTTGGCTGCACCAATCTCCAATTAATGGGAGCTCCACACAGCAGATGAGTAAAGATGACATTTACACGACGTGATGTGCATATAATGTGCCACATGGCAAGTCAGAGGACGTTCGTGATCTGGGCAAGCCAGGTTTCTCCTTTGCTATTAAAATGATACAATCTCTGACAATTTTTATTTTCCAGTCTTTGGAACATAATCAGAAGTGCTAATCCCAAGAGCTAAAAAAAAATTATGAATCAATTTCTCTGTTCTGCCAAACCCAAAATAAATATTACTTAAGCATGAAGTTTTAAGAATAACACACTGTGGATTCTCCTGTTTTAGGCCCTCTCAGTACAGTCATAAGCAAAAGAAAATTACACTCAAATAAACTGAAGATGAGATTCTGGAGACTCACAGATCTCCAGAAGGTAAAGCCTAAAGGCAAATATTCCATTAACTGTCTTAAAATTGTTAGAAACAAAAACGGAGAAAAACATCAAATGTCTTCTTTTATTAATTCAATCCTAATTCATTCTGCAAATATGTTGTCACACTGACTTATTTAATTATTATTTTATTTTATTTTATTTTTAAATGCTAAAAAGGCAGGAACCAGAGGAAAAAAATATTCAGTGTTTCCTAAAAGTTTTCTGGCTCCATAGGGAGAAGTGGCCAAAATTTGGACAATTCTTACTGAAAGATTGATTTGGGCATTTCCTGCCTCCCTGGCATAGCTACAGGGGAAAAAAACAGAACAGAGTGAGAAATTGATGATTTTATTCCGGAGACACCATCACAAAGCAAAACAGCCCCACAGATCTGAAGATGTTGGAAAGAGATTTTTCTAAATGTAAAGATGAATTGCACTATAAACTATATGCAAGTTGAAATGAAAGATGATATTCTCTAATAGAGTGATTAGTAAGCATATGGCAGCTGGGAAGATCGTACAAGTTATTCAAGAAAACCAGTTTCAAATATGTTTTCTGAATATAATCAGTTTTTCTCTATACCTCAGTTTTCCACTGCCTTGGACATAAATCTTAAGTCATAAATTATAAGTCTTAGATCACTCCAAAGCAGGTTTATATTTCTACTGAGAGATTTTCCCAAAGAAGGTTTGGTAGATCAGTGTGGATTGATACTGAGGTTTTGTACGAATGGCCGGCACAAATTTAACTGATAGTTTCGAGCTACCATGACTGAGTGCCTGGAGATTTGCTTCTAGTTTGCCTATCCATTAAACTGCCATTCACCTACTCATGCACTGCATCTGTTTAGACATTGCCATTCCCTCTCACAGATACATTCTTATCAACATACAATAAAAGTTGAGGTTAGATCCTAAAGGCCTGCTTCTGAGTTGGTAAAAATGAGTAGAAATCTGTTGATAGAGGTTATATGAGGTGTGATTCTTGCTGCTGAGAATTCGTGTGTGTAATACACACGATGATTATATCCCCATTAAGAAGGATTTTTAATAGACCAAAGCAGAAGCTTTTTGTATGACGCCACTGTCACTGACATTCACTCAAAATAAAAAAGTAAGATCACAACAGAAATGTATTTTCTGAACGTAAGATTTTTTAAGAATAGTCATATTATAAATTTCATATTTAAATGGCATGATGCACCAAGGGGTAGGTAGATGTGATACATGGATCCTAGCCTTTTGGCACTCCTGAACATTTCCATTTTGAACTGGTGTTCATAATCCAGACAGCTTTCACAAGCAGTGTCAGCGTCTTTACTCTCTTGAAGACTGATGTCTTGAAACAGGTGTTCTGATTGACAGATATCACAGATCACTTGAAAATGCCTGAGTACTCAAATAATGCAAAAACAGCTGCCAGATTTCTATGAGTCCTGTGTAGCAAATCTGGTGTTCATATTTCTCTGACGATACACATGCATTCACATTTGCAGTCTTGGGAATCTGAGAAGATACTTTCTGTAAGACCTGACGCAGCTTAAAAAACACCCTTCCCCAGTGGTCTTCTCCACTCTCCACTCCACTTCTCCACCCTCCAAGCCAGCGTGTTGAAGCTGGACTGAAAGTTGGTGTGGCAGCCAGGCCTGGATCTGAGTGAATGACCCTTCTGGGAGGGAAAGGGTGATCTGCCCCAGCAAATGTGGCAGAACTGGCCTGTTGACACTACTAGTTTTCCCTTTGCTGATCCACCTGGTAACATGACAAGGACTTATAGCTAACATTGGTGAGACTGGAATCACAGGATCACTGGCTGAGGTTGGAAAGGACCTCAGGAGACTGCCTGATCCCATTTGCCTGTTCAAGCAGGGCCACCCAGAGAAGGTTGTCCAGGTAGCTTGTGAAGATCTCCAAGGAGGCGACTGCACAGCCTCTCTGGGCAAACTGTACCAGCTTTTGGCCACCCACTCAGACAGAACCACCTGTGTTGTGGTTTGTGCCCGTGAATTCTTGTCCTGGCACCAGGAACCACTGAAAAGAGTGTGGCTCTGTCGTCTTTGCACCTCCCATTGAGGTATTTATAGATATTAATGAGATCCCTCCTGAACCTTCCCCAGGTTGAACAGCCCCAGTTGAACTCAATGCTCAAAAAACAGCTACAACACATTCAACATTCAGAAGCACTTGGACACTTCCAAAGGAAGGAAAGAAGGGCCTTAATGTAAACAGGCATAAAGACTTGAGCATACGTTATTTGTCTAGAGTTTGCTTACAATTTGGTATTGAAGCGTGAGGTGAGAAGGCATTGGTACCTTCTTCAATCTCTGCTGGGTACCTTGATGTAGCCAACACTCACCTTGAGGGTTTTGTTGTGCCTCTGGAGCTCCCGGCACAGGCTCTCAAGCTTGCTGCGAGCAAGGATGGCTCGGCTGTGCTCACTCTGCAGCTGATCCTTCTCCTTGGTGATCTGGGCCTGCCTCTTCTGCAGGTACTTGAGCTGCTTCTGCTCAGCACGATGCTCCTCAAGCTGGGCAGGGAATGGGAATTAAAACAAGTGGAGAGGAGAAGGAAAGAAAAGAAAGTGAATTTATCTGAAGGGAAGCTGTGAGATTTTATTTTTGTTGTAATTTTAAGAACTGGAGCAGTCGGTAGCTCTTTACACAGTGAGATTTCTCTAGATCATGAGATAACTCAATAGCTGCTCATTCTGTTTTACAGCTTCATGAAAAAGAACTCCCAGATTTCCTAGAAACCCAGAAAACTGTTAAAAACAAACAAAACAAAACAAAACAAAACAAAACAAAACAAAAAAAAAAAAAAAAAAAACAAAAAAACCAGCAGAAAAAGCATGGGAAACCAAGGAAAGAGCTTGTGCAAAAGCTTAGCTGCCGTTGGAAGCAGAAGACCTGTTGTGGTCTAATGCTGTGGGAGGCTACATAGCACACAGCTGTTCACTCACTAACCCCCACAGTGGGGTGGAGAAGAAAACTGAAAAGTGCCAGAACTCGTGGATTGAAACAGGGACAGTTTCTTGTGTACCACAGCCTCCTCGCTGGCAGGGCAGTTTGGGAAGCTGAAAAGGCCTTTACTTACTGCAAGTGCTGCTCAACTGAAAACACCGGTGTGTTATCAATGCTATTCTCATCCTAAAACCTAAAACTCAGTGCTTTACAGGCTACTAGGAAGAAAATTTATTCAACTCCAGCCAAACTAGGACAAGGCTTTTCAGGGAAGAATTTCCCCTGAACATCCAGTGGGCACCTCCCCTCCTCTTTGCCAGTCTCCTCTCATTCATGGATTGTCCGTCAGTTGTGTTTCTGAAGGCCCCTGCAATGGGGATGGGTTACAGGGAATCAAACCTCTTTCTGGCTCTTTGGCTCCACCTAAATTCTGAGGAGTATAAAGCTTGGCAATTGTTTCTGCAGATGTGTAGGACCTGTGTTGCCCGAAGGGCTGGAGGGGAGCACCATGTTGGAGGTGGGAGGAGAGGGAGCATCAGAACTGCCGATAGCAGCTCCACAAAGATCGGTCATTCCCTCTAACACGTGCCTGTTACTGGCTGTTGGACAAATTTGCTCTACTGCCAATTAACACTGTAACAGAAATGTCCAAGAAGCATTTCACCTCTGAAGCTTTTGATGATTTCTTCTTCCACCCCAACCTGCAGCAACCCTTCTCTCTATTACAGGCATGTATGTATTAAGAGATGTTCCTAAAATCCAGATGTTTTCCAGTTACTCATGAGCTACAATATGAAAACCTTAATAATAATAGTTGCTATTAGGGCACATTATTTAACAATATGATACTGCTGGTACTGATTATTAATCCCAGTATGACTGGGAAAGTTTATGAGTGTAGAGAAGTGATGTGAAGCTCAGACAAGACAGATGGCAGGAATAATATGTAGCACTTTCTCTGCCCAAGGATCTGTTTTCTGCAGATGTTCTGTGATTTATGCTTATAGTATGGAGCTCTGCGTATTATCAATCACATCACTGCTAGTCATACCACAAACCAAAGCAATCACCAGCTTGGAGGATATTTACAATTTATGCTCAACTTTCAGCATGAGTTCTGTGTATTTTTACCCTGGAATAAAGGCCTCTACATCTAATCAAGTCGGAATAATTCTTCTAGTATTGTAGGGAAAAATAGTCTCTCTGTAATTAAAGACTTGTTTTCCTTTATAAGCTTGATTTTGGCCCCTTTTTCTTCCCTTTTAAAACACACAAAAAATGTTCTTTTTCTTCACATTTTTCATGTGCAGCCCGTGCTTAGCAGATAATGCTATGTCCAAATTTAAGATGACTTGCTCAAGCTGTGTTTGAGGTAGGGGATTCAGAGTGAAATAGCTCTTAATCACAATACCAGAAGCTTCCAAGCATCTTTTGGTTTGTTTTTTGTTGTGGTTGTTTTCATTAAAAATGCCTAGCTCTAGAAAGAAAAAGAAAAAAGCAGTTTTATTGTGACCCCACTGTATCCTGGCAATACTCGTGTCTATGTATCAGTGTATAGTTGCACCCAGAACTTGAGAGACACTCAGGATTTCTGAAAACAAACCATTCACGTGGAATTCCATAATGACTGTTTGTAGGCAAAAACTAAAATAAAGCACAGTCTTCTCTACCAGCTCCAACCACTCTGGCTGCATCAGAATGAGCAGATAAAATGCTCTCTGGTGGCAAGTAGTAGGGCACAGCTTATGTCCAAACAGTTCAGTTGCTTTCCTCCCTGTAGGTATGGCCTCATTCATACCAGCAGGGATGCATCCCACACTGTTTTCTGATGCCATCCATTTTTGCATGTACTCGTCATGATAGGCTGTGCCAGAGCATGTGCTAACACTTAAATGCAGATAGCTGAGTGACTGTGGGGACATAGTGCTATGTTGTGTCCCTACATTTGAGCAGCATCTTCAGTCAGAGCCAGCAGCATCACCTCATACTCTGAAGCCATGGCCAGCACCCAGCTCACTCAGCCTGGCACAGTGCTGCACTTTCCCCAGAGCTGTGCTGCAGAAGTGCTCACATCACTACATGATTAACTGGACCAGGGAACTGATACAGCTGGAAGATAACTCAGCAAAAGCAAAAAGTGACCTGAAGTGTGTGATGGAGATGGGCAACAGGGAGCAAACAGAATGGTAGCTGCTAACAAGCTGTGCTGAGTGAGTAGTGTAAGGGTTTTTCCCACAAGCCTTGAGTTGTATTAATTAAAGGATTTATTCTAGTGACATTGCACAGGATGTCAAAACTGAATGCATTTTTGCTTTAGTTCCTTTCTCCTTCATGGGTTATTGGCAATGTGGGCCATAATGTGTTCAGTGCTCCAACAATGCCCGAATGCAATGGAGAGTACATCAGAGAAATCCTGTTTCGGTTAATTTGTGGGCACAAAGTCCCTTTAGGCAAGGGCTCAATTATAAACTGCCAGAGTCCAATTTATGAAATCAGAGAATTTTACATGGAAAAAAAGGAAAGCTGAACATCACATTATGATGAGACATGGACACATCTGTGCATAAAACCAATTACAAAGTCAATGTTCTGCTTGGCATGTTTTTCAGTCTCCGTAAACTGTAAAATGCTGCAGCCATTTCACATGTGAGATTTTCACTGCTTAAGGACATAGAGACCTTTAACTACTGAGAAGAAAATCCTTTATCTGAAACTAACCCATCCTCATTGTGGAGAGAACAGAGAAGGGGAGTCAGGTCATCATTACAGGTGTAACATTATGGTTCAGGGGCTTTTACTGTTAATTTCACTATACTTTGGTTTCTCTGATGATTGGCTTCAATTCTCTACTTTCTGATTTTCTACACTGACACTTCATACTGCGTGTTGTTTCCAGTTTGATCAGATCAGTGATATGCAAGGTGAAGGAACGCCCATATGCAGAGGTATGCAGGGCTCCTTGCGGAAAAGGAAAGCAGGAGTGCCTGCCACTCTGAGGTGCTGTGAGCTTGAGCTCATCTCCAGTGCATGGGCTGGTGTGGTAGTGTAAAACAGTTCCGTAGGTCCATTTTTTTTAACCTACTGAAGGAATCTATCCCATCTTTTTTAGCTATCTGCACATACTGGCAGTGCCTGAGTGCCAGCATGAAGGTTGTGGAGGACTTGAGCCTGTTGCATCCCTATGGCCTGAGCAAGAAAGGCAGATTTACTGTAAGGATCGATGTATGTGCAAAAAAAAGGACTGTTTTTTTCAAAACATGCCACTAAAATAAAAGCTCTTTTTTTTTTTCTTTTTTTTTTCTTTCTTTTTCTTTTTTTCCTTTGCATCTTCTTTAACTTACCTAACTAAACAGATTTGGTAACTATGGATTACAAATTAATCACACTATTCCAATATTTGTTACATGAAGATCTGATGAACACCAGTGAATACTGTAGAGATGCATAAAATGGGTATTTAGTTTAAAATAGGTGTGAATAATCTTTTAACGAATGCAGTTTTTACAAGAGAAGAAACATACATCCCTTGAAGAAGGGAGAGATGTTTAGAGGATTAGAATAAAATCATCTTCTCCCTGAGAAATAGAATTATGCTCACAGTATTAAAATGTATGTAGAAATGTATGAAAGACATGTTAAGAATAAAAGTGAATAAACAGATTTAATAAAGACATTTTTTGGGTGCTATGACTATATAGCATCCCAGTGACTCCATGCTTTCAGTTATACCTCCTTATGCCAGAAATATTTACACAGATTTATCTTTAAGTACAACTATTGTCTTATCAATTTTTTAGCCCTTTCCAAATCTAACTCAAATTCCAGATTGTTTTCCTGACTTTTTACTCCCCCCCTTCTCTCACTCATAAGTCATTATTTAACCCCGACAATTACTTTTCTATATAAGTTAACAGGACAGATGCTTCTACTAGGTGAGGTTGGGCTGTGCTGAATGGTGTGTGTTTATGGGTTCCTCTCTAAACAGTTAGGAGGAGAACCTGTGCTGCACTCACCAGCTCAGCATACTTCTTAAATAACAGGTCCAGTTTCTCTTCTGGAGTATTCAGTTTGTTCAAGCTTTGCATCAGTAGGGTGGCTTCCTTTCCTTAAAAAGAAGCAGAGATTTGATGGTAGAGATAGTTTGTAGCTGACATACTGTTACGAAATTGTTGTGTGTGTTTGTTTTTATGCATGAATTAGTATATTAATTTCTTACGAATGAACTCATGGAGGAGAGGTGTGCTTTTTTGAAGGAAGGGGACCATCTTTACTGTGAATTCCTCTTGTTTATTTTCTTCCAGTAAGAACAAGCACGCTTGAATTTGCTCCCATTTCATACCTCAGTAATGTATTTTCTTCCAGCAAAAATTAGTGGCAAGTGAAATGACTTTTTCCTGTATAATCTTTTTTTTGTTGTTGTTTAATATTTTTGTAACGTTACTGGGTCACATATGTAATTCCTCTGCAGGAGTGAACTGACAGAAACTGGGATACTCTTGTGCTGCTCAACCCCTACTTGGATAGCCAGGTTTGAGAGTGGTGTAAAACATTTCCCTGAGTTGGTGTAATGAATATGGATACCAGAGACAGTCTAATAATTATCTTGGCATACATCACTAAATCTGTGATGATAAGCTGTGTAGACAGTCATGTATTGCTTCCATGCTGATACTTTTTGGTATTCATTTCAGCCCTCAGTTTGAGCTCGAGCTTGAATACTACTTGTTCTTAGAATACAAAATGTCCCTGGCTTCCCTGGAGCTGAGGACGGCTGTGGTACATGAGGATGGCTTGGACATATTTTTCCATATGTACCTCTTCCCAAAAGGCTGGGAGGGAAAATTCACCTTCATCTTTATGACGGATTCTTTCTACTTCAAATATAGTGCAGCCCAGAAGTACTACTTGTGGAGAAAATCCACTATTTCAGACTAAGTTATCCCTATAACACTGGTATAAATAAATTCAAAGGAGCTATAATCAATCATGGAGTAAAAACTGTTGCAAGTGCAGCTGGAGAACTGTACTTTAGTGGTGTTTCCACTCATCTTGGAGACATACCAACAAACGCACCACAGCCAAGGATATTGGAACAGGGGAACTGTACTTTACACGGACGTCCAAGGAATCTGGAAAAAGGGCCCTGTTTCTCTAACTGCACTCTGCAGTGATTTTTCTGTAGGATTAGAATACTGTTGGGTTTGAGTACTCATGCAGAAAAGAGTCAAAAGAGTGGAAGTTATGTATAAGTGGAAACAAACTGCACGTTTGCTAGACTGGGATGCAGCTACATTGCTCTCTAGTGGCTGTCCAGTAGAAAGGATTTTAAGCTCAGCTAAGAGGATCCTGCAGTGGCCAAGAGGACCAATGGCTACGCTTAGGGAGAACAAGCTTACTGATTTATTGCAAACAGTCTGTGATGAGTCTGCTGAATAAAATATAACACATTGAATTTGTTCTGCAATTTCCCTCTTGGCCACTCCACGTAGTAGCGCCATTAGCACAGTTATGACCTGTAAGAAATCATACCTGAGGAAGTAGGAAAATAAATGAATGTACAGGGGCATAAACAAGAGATCAGATGTCCCTTTGTCTAAGAAGCAGTACTGTTCAGCATGTCTTCAGACTTGCAGCTTTGGCCACTAGTTTGGGTGGACCATTAGTCTATCAGCCATGTGATAAAATCCTAAGCTTTCATCCCTGTACAAGGATTAATGTCTGATAAAGCCTACTGTATCTTTTGGGTAACTGCTGACAATTTTTATCAATTAGAAAAGTTATAACAGTCACTGTAGTTTTTAGTGGTCCCTATCAGCCATAGCAGAGGCCTAACAAGGGAAAGAGTGAAGTCCAGGGAGGTTTTAGCTCTGTTAGCAGAACAACTATGTAAGTACATAAGCACTTGCCTAGTCCTTTCAGTATTTTCTTCTCCAGCTTTTGTTCCTTGCTGGTGCTGGGCTCCTTTGCTCTTGAAGCATCTCCAGGAGCTGTTTTGTCTTTCTCACTTTCTTCATTTGTATCCTCATACTCTGCATCCTCCATACTGCCCGCATCTCCCTTCTCTGGCCTTTCAGTTCCTGCTGTAGTGCCTTCCTTCTCCATCAGACTGGCTGCAGACCCATAGGTTTTAATAATGTCCTCCAGTTGCCGGCTCAGCTCCTCCGAGATGTCACACGTGGCCACCTCAGGATGGGAGCTGGTTTGGTCTGTGGGGGACAGGGGCTGCGAGCTGGGGACAGGTTCCTCCTTGCTTTGCCCTTGAATGTCCTGCCTAGGTGAGGTGGGAACCTGCTGCTGCTTCTCAGTGAACTGGTCATTCTCCATGCTTGGTGCAGTACCTAACAGCAAAATAACAGAGTTAATTTAAAAGCAGAGAGATTAGTCTTCTCAATGATCACAAGGCTTGACCAGGAAGTGAGTGATCTGGTGTGGGATTTGGCATGGCAGGTCATCCTCTAACTTTGGCTTGATGGATTCAACATGCTGAAACAAGCCACCAAGTTGATTTACCTGTTGGGAGAAAAGTGAATTTTACATCTACCAAGAGGAGAAGCCTGCAGAAAGATAACACTGACAAAACACGACCTCTTGCTCTTGTTGCAAGTGACAAAGCACAAAACTGCACCAGAGCCATCCATACTACATCCTTCCCTGAATGCAGTTTGCCACTTGCTTGTTTTTCTTGATTAGTTTCACCTGCAACGCTGGTTACTGACATGGGCAGCTTCACTTCAGATTTGCATCACTTTCATTTCCCGTTTCTCACCCACCAGCACATCTTAAGTTGACAATCAGGAAAAAGGAAGTTTTTAGAAGAAGCTGGAGAACTGAAAATTGTGCTCTTGGAGAGCCCAGCATGGTGCCTGATATGTGAATGGCCCTGCCTGGAAGTGACATAGTAACAGCAACAAACAGTTCATAATAAGATAAACAACTACAAACCACCTTTCTCTTGTACTTGCAGTGCACTGCTGACAGCTTGTTTGAGAAAGTACAAAGCATGGAATAAATCAGAGCATTGTAAAATCAACCAGGTGTAACACAAATTGATATTCGATGGTGGTTTCTGTTTTGAATGTCACATAATTGACTCTCAACTTGCAGTGGAGACTTCGAGTTTTTTCCAGACACATCCAACCCGCAGCCCACAGGATGCTTGCTGCCCAGCGCAGCTGGCACTGCGGCCTTCCCCTGCCCCACACCATCATGGCGGCAGCCCGGCCCCTCAGCACCAACCGAACACCAGAGCGCTATCAGCCCCACGGGGGCACTGCGCTGTGCCAGCTCACAGTCATGGCAGATACGTTTATGGATTTTGATACACTGGCTGTACACAGTCCTGTGAACAGCAAGAATATGCAGCTGTGCTTTTCGTTTTGATAAAAGAATTTTAAAACTGAAAAAAAAAACCAACATTTTTTTTGGTTCATTTGCGACTCCATTTTCACTCAAAGTAAATATATCACTTGTGAATTTTCAAATGAAACACAGAGTTGCAATTCAAAATTTGATCATGTCTCTTTACCAGACTTTCGTAATCCTTCTTTTACCAGAGAAAATCACTTTGCAGTCATGCCTTGCTCATATCAATGCTTTCTGCTGGTACATACATTTGTCAACAATTATTTTCAAGGATGAAACACAGGAAGAGTAAAATTTCATCAAAAATCTGTGATGAACACTTGAGAGCTCTCTGAGGACTGGAATCACTGCCATCAAAGTGGACTGATGCATTAGTTTCACAAAAACAAGGTCACATATTCCACTAGTTTTATGGCTTTGTTGCTTTCTTTTTAAAATATATATTAATAATTAACATTAAAAAAGTAAAATAAGTTTTGTTACTTTATATACACTAACTATATTATGTATTTTACAAGGGCTGCTCTAGAAGTAGTGCCTTCTATTTAATCATGTTTCCCCACAACATCAGAGGCTCCCAGTGATCCAGATGCATTTCAGCATTCCTTCTTGTAATGACATGATTCACAATAATGTCATCAGGTACTTAGTAGGGACAAAGGACAGGAAGAATATTGCTTTGTCAGATCTAAGGAGGCTGCTTTCTTACTTTTGAAAAGATCACTTGTTTTGAAAATATGGAGCTGAGAAGCATTTTTTTTCCTGTTCAATTGTCTGTAACATATATTTTCTATGGTGTCTAAATTTCTGAAGCTTTAAGAATCATAAACAAACTTGGCTAAAGGCAGTATATGATAATAGAGTTGTAATTCATTGTAATATATAACGTATTTGTTGTTAAAATCTCCCCAGTTAAAGTGGTTCTCAGTACTGCAGTGACTGTCACTACAAAGGCTGATATTTTTCAAGATTTGATTGGTGAGCTATTTGATCAGGCTTATGGATACGGTACTCAAGTATTACATTTAATCATCTCTAAAGCAATTCACTGTGAGACCTATATTTGAAAGCTTTGAGTGGGGCTCAGGATGTGCCTTAAAACTGGTATCTACAAAACCATGCCCCAGCAGTCCTCCAACCACAACTCACCAATAGCAATGACTTGGAAAGACAGTTGGACATGATCTCATGGACCCTCATCAGGCAGATACATCTGATGCTTTCCTTCCTACATTTGGCATGGTCTGAAAACTGACTTATAACAGTCAGTTTTAGTGTCCTATTGACTTTAATTTATATTGAAAGAATGTGCGTGTGCATTACATGTGCAATTTCAGGTTAGGTAGAAGTTTGTGATCTTGTTTTAACTAGCATTAATTGGCAGCCAATTAATTCCAGTAATATCATAAATAAACTTCAGTAATATTATTGTAAATGCTAAACTAGAAGCTCTGCAAAATGTTTTTGTTTCTGACATAGTATTTACATAGTATTTCAGACTAGTATTTACAATTGTGTTCATTAATTTGAGATAATTGGCAATTGGCAATCAATCAGCCGGAAAATCCAGGATCATCAGCTCTTCTCTAGACAGAAAAAAAAATTTTTGTGAAATATATCCCCAATTTAAGCCAAGTTGTTTTGTAATATGTTCAACACAGAAGGATAATCAGATCACAGATGCTTCACTCCCAAACACGAATTTCTCTTCTGCCTAGCTCCTTCTCTCTGTAAGAAGGCATATGTTGATGTTCCTGCTGTCAGGACCCTTACTGCACTCCTGAAGTCTTGTTGAAGATGTGAAGTGGGCTGGCTCTGTCCCATGTCAGGTCTTCTCCACTAGGAGCTCTGGTGAAGAGTGCTGGAAGCCAGAACCTGGCCCTGCTTTTCCCTGGGAGCTGCTTTTCAGCTAGGGGCATAGCACTAGCCCCCTCCATCACAGAAAGATCCCAGACACATCCATGCACATCTTCAGCCTCCATTCGCTTTGTCCCAGACCTGAATGCATCAGCAAGGCTTTCCTGCTTGCCCCTGGACCTGCCTCATCACTGGAAAAGTGCTGGTAGATTTGCAGGCTATATCTATCCCTGAATGCACCACAGACCTAGTCCTGACTCTAAACATATCATGGCTCCTTGGATTGAAGTCCCTACTCCCATCAGCCATGTTATCATGCTGGCTCGTGGATCTCTTCCAAGTCTTAACAGCGTCACTCATGAAGCAGCGCCATCTGGCTAAGGTTTTCCTCCTAAGTGAATCACTAAGTCTGCCTACAAACACAGTAGGCTTTAAATCAGCAACAATGATTGAGTTATAAACAGTGTTTCTCAGTTGTAAATGAAACATGTGGGTGAACTGAAGAGAAACTGAATGTTTGGAAACAACAAAACAAAAGTCGACCTCACAGGAAGTCTTCCCTGGTATAATCCATATCATTCCTGATTACAAGGGCATTAGTTATAAGTTTCTGAAACCACAGTAATTTACATGTGCTGAGGTTAAGGCCACCAGCCTGAAATGGTAAGCAGACAGGAACCACAGAAATACCCAGTGACTCAAGGGTTGTCACTTGCTGTAACATACTGAGGAGCACGTTTACACAGACAAGCAAATGTTTTAGCATTTTCTTTCATTCTCCTATAGACTAAATCAGAGATCTGATAACTGCTTTCAGCACGCACACAATGTCTGTTAAGACAAGCACCTTGTTTTGTGTAATGTATTCCACAGTGTAAGAGAGTTTATATTCAGGAAGACAGAGCAGCTCTCATCTTCTGAAAACAGCCTTTGGCAGTGGGAAATTTTACTGCAGTAATCCCCAGTCCTGCTCTTGCTCCAACCTGTTTAACCTTGATATGCATCAGGAGTTCTGTCTTATCAGACCATGAAAGATTTACAATGCCAATCTAACGAAATCCCAAAGTATTTACATTACTGCTGTCTCAGACAAGGTAATGTCTAAAAATTAGGTGACCGATTCCAGCAGAGAAATTCTTAAGTTCCTTAACTTCCAACAGACTGAGGCAAAGGAGACAGAGCCCAGTTTTTGACTCTGCCTCTTGGCTTCTGTGACTCCATCTATCTTGTTTCCACACATGCGAGGCCTTAGCTGATTTTATGGTGAGGGGTAGGACTGACCAGTCATTTGATTGACTCTGAGTGTTTGGTCTTGTTTACTCTTTTCCTCTTGCACTTCCAAACCCCGGACTCATTTCACAACCCTGAGATCAGTATCTCTCTCAGCCCTGACATTTTGCATGCAAGTTTAATTCCAGACAATCATAGTTGCTCCCTACAGATATTGCTTTGATTGAGAAAATAATACAACCACACAATATTGTTTCTACATCAGCCTTGCAGTTTTTAGCTCTGTGTCTGCTTGAGATAGCCAGTCTAACTTTAAAGCTCAGACCCTAGGTGTGTGTGTGTGTTTCATTTTGATTCTGAGTTTAAGTATGAAACCTTAAGCTTGTCCTCGTCATCAGCAAAGTTAGAGAAAACCAGGCTGGAGTATGTAGGGACAGCATTGGAAGTTACAGCTGAGAGGACATTTTGTCAATGGAGCACTTGGCTGCCTAGCCAGGAAGACCCAAGGCCTAGCTGTAGGGATGGTCTTCCTCCTCTAGGAAGCAGCCTGAGAGCCTAGTGCCTCCCCGTGCTGACTGTGGTAGAGCCTCTTCTCCATTCCTCTCCTCCCTCAGTAGACATTCAGCATAACCAAAGAGAAGGACAGACCTCCTTGGAACACTGCCCCAGCCTTGGGTGGGAGGTGACAGATGTCAGGCACAGGCTGATGCCTTTCTGTAGGAGGACTCCTGGCCAGACCTGTTGTCCTGTAGTGAGACTGGTGCCTGGAGCTGACGTTGTCAGCATGTTGGGCAAGATGATGCACAAATGGGGCAAACACGCAGCATAACCAGAGGCAACAGAAAAAAAGTGTGCAAGTTCAGTTAGGTAATGTGCTGAGTTGGTTTAGATCTGACTGTATCCCTTAGTATTTCACACGTATGGCACAATCCGCATTCATTGTGCTTAGACATCCGTCAATGCTTCCAAAGCAAAAGGCTTGAGAAGCAAAAGCCCAGGCCTGTTTTAACAGAGATGCACGAGCTGTGTTGCTGCTGCTGGACAAACCACCCCATACAGTGCCCCGTACCAGCACTCCTTGCTCTGCTGGGGTGGAGCTGCTGCTGTAACTGGAGGCTTTAGCCCAGCTCAAACTGAGCATAAAACATGGGTCTTGAGCTTGGGCTCGCATGCTGTCACAAATTTTTTTTATTATTATTATTTAGAACAGAACTTTTACCCTTCCTTCTCACAGGAATTTCTTTGTCCTTCCCTTCTTGCAATCTGAACTTCTGGAGGGTTTACTAATTCGCCTATATTTAGCACCTGCCTCCCCATGTATCCAGCAGAAAGACACATGGCACCTGCTCTGCAGCCAGGAGTTATTTTAAGCACTTCTAAAATGGGGCATAGTATTTCGCACTTTTTGCTCAAAATTCACATACTCACACATGTAAGTTCCCTAAAACAGTGTTCCATATAATTACACCAGGCAGCATATGCCAATAAAACCTAAAGCTTTACTTCAGCATATGACCAGACTGAACTACATAACACCTCAAAGCAGCAAACAGTAAACCCTGAAATGGCCAGCAGTGGTTAGCTCCAATTACCTTCCAGAAATACAGAAGTGCCTTCTTATAGCCTAAAGGCTGTTCTATATATTACTTCAGAACACTATGACAAAATCAGCTTTATCAACTCTGTGCTGCAGTTGAATAGCATTGTGATTAACGCATGATTTTCTAGTACAAAATCAAACAAAACTGGTTGTTTGGTGGCATGTTTTCTTACAGGCATGAAGAAATCCCGGACCCAGAGACTTTCTGATGTTGCCTGTCTTGTGTTTCATGTGGCATCTGAGTCTTCATCAGTTTTTGTTGTCACTGCCATAGCCTCTATTTGCACCCAAAAGCCAGCTCTCCCAAGCCAGTTTACATTTTTTTTGGTCACTCCTTAGAGAAGCGTTTCATCCTTTCACCAATGGGCTCCCATGCTCGCCTGTTTTCCTCACATGCCACACAGTGCTCAGGCTTTTAAGGCTATTCCAAGGAAATTGGGCTGACTGTCTCAAAGGTAAGCACTTAGATTAATGTCATTGTGCCATGCCACCAGCAGTAACAGCAGGGAAGCTGATTGTCAGACTTACCAGAGCAAAGAGAAGTGCGGGCAGAAGTCAGGCAGAAAGCTCAAACCAGGGGCACGACAGCAGCAGGGCACTGGATTATAATCCTGCCACCAAGAAGACCAAGCAAGGGGGAAGGACAGAGTGACACAGCAGGAACAAGCTCTGCAGAGCCCAACTGCACACTGTGCAGGGGACTGGCTGTGATAGGCGAGCAGGGAGGCTGCCTGCAAGTTGGCAGCATAACCCAGCTATGTTGGCTATTCCCTTCTCTGACAGAGATAGCACGAGAGGTCAGAAACTCAGGCCCTTAGAAAGAAGAGATACAGGAAGGATTCAAATACACCTGCTACTCTTGAAAGCTAAGTCTTAGTCTGTCAAGGATTTGATGTGTTTGTGTGCTCTGTGAAATTTATTAAACGTGGTCTGGTCAGACTCTAAGTCTTTTGTCTACACCAGGAAGGCTGGGATGGCTTTCAACAGTGTTAGCTCACACTTGTGACCGCCCTTTGCAACCTGAGGTCCGGGCTGGATTTGTTATAAACCTGACTGATTCATGGTCATAGACTCACAGGAGGACAACTGGAGGTCTCTCATCCAACCTCTTGCTCAAAGCAAGCTTAGCTATGAATTCAGACCAGGTCTCTCAAGGCCTGTATCAAGTTTTAGTATTAAGAGACTGCGTGACCTCTCTGGGAAACCTGTCCTGCTGCTTGACTGTCCTCAGGGTGAAAAGGTTTCTCCGCATATCCTAGGTTGAACCTTCTTGTTTCAGGTTCCTGTCCTTCCACCTACACCCCTATGGAGAGCCTCTATCTGTCTTCTTGTTAATCTCATAGGTTCTTTGAGGCTGCAGTTTGGACCTCTAAAAGCTCTCCCTTCTCCACGCTGAACATCTCACCTTCTCCAGCCACCTCATGGGGCAAATAATCCAACCCAAATAATCCAGCCACCACATTTCAGTGATTGGAATGCTAGGAGAGATAGCTGGTATAGTCCTCCGTTTGAATCGAGGAGCTCTCAAATATTTTTGTTGCTGCCAAGGTAACCTGCCTGACCTACTTTCTTCGTGTTACCGTGCAGGCTCGCTCTGGCCTGAAGTTGTTTGTATAAACAGCCAAGCACTCCCCAGGGAGTTCAGCTGCATGCTGTTTATTCAGCAACCAGCATCTCCCACTGCTGTGGCCCACAAGTCACTCAGGCAGCATCTTGAGATGCCAGATGGCCTAAGGACCATCTGCTGCTTACTCCCAAGGGAGAGATGTAGGTCAGTTTAATGCATAAAAATGCAAACAACTGGGAAGCAATAGGCTGGTGCTGCAAGTGGCAGGCAGTGCTATGAGAAGAAAAATAGGACTTTGACTCCAGTGGAAAATAATAAAGCTCAGAGCAACAATAGGAGGAAAAATGAGTATATACTACAACAATTTGGAGTAATTTCTTAAACTGCACATTGTGTAGCACTGGAGGATCTAGAAATGTTTTGTAGCAATATCTGATTCATGAGGATGTGAGAGAAAAGCACTGGCAGCTCAATGTCCAGAAGTACTGGCTTGGAGGTGTTTGATATGTTGAGAGCATCCTGGTCTTTCTCTTCAGAGGACAAAAGGTCTTCCTTTGTGGAGATAATTATCTGCTTGCTTGGAAAAGGCAGCTCATATGATCTCAAGATATGTGGGCTATGTGGCTTAAAGAAAAAACAGGTTCTTTAAACCTTCTTCAGAAACTAATGGTAGCTCAACAGTGCTCTTAAGGAAGTCACAGATTTAAGGACAAAGAAAAGGTGCTTGAAATGTTGGGAATCTTTTGGAGGGACTGGAAACTGGCTGGGCATGTTTTGAGAGAAGATAAAACTGTGGTTGTTTGTGATACAACAAAGTGAGCAAACCGAATATAAGAAAAGATAAGAGTGTACCAGCTTCTTGTGCTCCCTCTGTTTTGAATGGAGAATTCTGCTCCAGCCCCTTCTTCATTTTCCTTTCTGCAATCAAAGTGAATAACTGATCTACCAAGTAGCTAAGAAACAGCTGAGTTGCGGAAAGTTGCCAACTCCTTGGTAAACAGAAGGCAAGACAAGTTCTGCATCACCTAGTCTTTCACCATGGGGAGACTATTATGTATTCACTCATTTTTGCAACAGATAGCATGCACACAAACTGTTGTTGCACCTCAATAGCTTGCAAGAATTCATGGACAGTGACAACTTGGTTGTGTGCTGGAGACGTTGGAGAGTACTGATAACAAGAAATTAGTTGGAACTATCCTTATAAATATTAGCTACAATAAGTCCAAAGTTACATGTTCTGAATTGTTCTCATTAATGCAATAAGGAAGTCAGGAAATGGAAAAATAAAATCCTGAATCCTTGGTCCTGTCAGTAGCATGTGTATGCAGATCTCAAAGACTGTGAGGGATCTACTGGACTTTGGCCTGTAGAAACAAGCATGCATTCTGCAACCCCCTGCAAATAGTAGCAGCTCTGCTCCACATGCTCCTGCTTGCCAGCAATACAAGAAAATCTGGAGACAACTGCTCCTGGTTGTGTCATTCATGTGGATGTGGACTGCAGCAGATCCACCATGCCTTGACACTTCACTGCCAGGTCTGTAGCAGGGAGAGAGTAATTTCCGGATTTTAGCAAAGAAAACTTGCTAACAATTTGACATTCTTCACAGTTTTCCTACTTAGCAGTTTTTAATCTATTTTTGGGCAGATGCAAGTCTTTCATGTTATATTATACCTGGGCTGAATCAATCCCTGTTGTGCTACTGCTTCTCCTAATTATATTGGAAATAAAATTCAATTCTGTTTAAACCATTATGTGCCATAATATCTCTGTGCTTCTGTACGTTTGCATAACACTCTTATACTGTAATAATAAAACATATAGTATAGTAACAAGCATATATGTAAGATATATGACAAAAGTATAACATATATGAATAATGTGGTTCAAACATAACTCTCACAAAGGTCTTGAATCACAAAAGCACATTGTTATGTATGCAGTGGTCTAGAAGTCAGAAGCTTGCTGAGTCAAGCAGCATTCCCCTGCTGTGGGAACAGAGTGTCGTGAGAAGAATCCTATAAGGATCCAGTGCCAGGTCTGTCAAGACAGATCTCCACTGGGTTTAATTTAGTTCTATAGAGGTGTTGTAAACATCTGTACCTGGCAGACATTTTGCATGGTGACCTCTTGGGAATCATTTCTCTCCTGCTGAGTTCTATGTTAAAAAAAAAAAAAAAAAAGATATTTACATTTATTTGCATCCACAAAGCAGGTGCTCCATACAGCATCAATTTTCTGCAGATTTCCTAGCTCCAAATCAATCTCAAAAGGGTTGAGAGGTTATGATTTGCCTTCTAATAAGATTTTATGGCCTGAGGGTTTGTCATATATCTAAGGTTTGCCAGGTTTCATCTTTACAACTCAAAGATCCTGGCTACAAATGGCAGTTAATAACACAGCCAAATTGGCTGACACAGAAAATCCCAATAGGCATTAGACATAACTAATTTAAGCAAATAATTTAATTCTTAATCTACATCAGTAAGAATATAATTTCTGAGTTTTAGTGAGGAAACCAGTCTAAGAAACTGGAGGAATCCCCTGTGGTTTGCTACTAAACAGTTTTTTATTTATTCCTGGAAAGATTCAAGTCTTTTGAAATCTTAAGAGCAAGCAAAATCAATTATCAGGGTTTCAATTTTCTACAGGCAATTTCCACTGCTTCGCTTGCCCAAGAGATAGACTCTCCATAAATACATTATGCTATGTTCTATTTGAAGAATTTGGCAAAATGGAGAAGAGATTCACTTGAAAAATGACACATGAGGTAAAGGAATCCCTCAGGTAAGGCATACAGTCACACCTGAATACATCTCTGCAGTTTGGAAATAACCTTCCTCCACTATATTTGGATAATTTATTAGGAAGGAAAAGAGCAGTGTTATCTGATTCCAGTTATACTGGTACTGCAGTGAAGTTACTGATGAATTACATCATTTTAATCTAAGATAAAATCAAGTCTGAAACTTTTAAAACATACTTCATACAAAAACTGTCTATTTTAAATGCAATCTAAAAGTGATGTCCCTCTAGCTAGAAGTGACCTTCTATCAAAAGATAGTGGGAGTAGAGTTGGGCCCAATCAATTGTCTACCATGGACATTCTGTGATCCTACTGGATCTCTGGGCCCAATTCAGATGCAATCATGCTGTAAATCACATATCAGAGAGTACATCAGTCAAGGATGACTTACAGAGAAGAAAGCTAACTATCCCAGTAAGATAGTGTAATATATATATATATAAAGGTGCTTTTTCTCTTTCCTTCCCTTTTCTAGCCCCTTCAATTTTCTAGTAACATTCACTTGCACCAGCTTTTTATTGATAAATATATATATGTATATATATATATATAAAGACTGTTGCTTGATCTGTTTTGCAAAAAATTAGGAAAGGAAAAGCCTCATTAAGAGCTTGGTCCTGCAGCTGCTCTGTATGTGGAGCAGATTTCATGAGGAACACCTGCTGGTGAGCAGAATGGAGAATAAAGCAAATTAGAAATTGAAGACAAGCTCTCTCAGTTACAGGAGCTGAGCATGGGAAGTAAAACATCTCAAAATAGGACCCAAACATCTTTCTCTGAAAAAGACAAGATCCAAGTTGTGCTGGCAATCTAAAGGAATCTGAGTGCATTAGGGGCTGAGTAATGTTAAGGTAATGACTAACTTAGCTAAGAACACAGGTTGGAAGAACAGTGATTGATACAATGGGAAGGACGCAGTTTGGCATAGTATTTAAATGAAACTTGGAAGTAATGGAGATATTTGTGATGGAAGTTAAAGGCATACAGAAAGAGAAATAACGGAGGCAACAAGAGTGAAATGAGTTGTAATGAGACCCTAATTTTATAGGCTATTTACAGAGTAGCTGATGAACTGTTAGTTTAGGAGGAGCTGCATAGTGGCTCACAGAGCTGGCAGTACTACTGTGCAGTGTCTAAAATGGCTGCTGATGTAAACACCACTGACCTATTTTAAGACATGCGTGGAAAAAGAATCACTGCAGGGGAAATGCAAAAGAGTGAAAAAGGTATATTGGTGTTAATAGATCGAAATAGTAAAACAGTCCTAGTTGTGTGTGTGGATAATGTTTTACAAGTAGTCCAGGAAGAATTTCCTTCTTAGACGTGCCATCTTTTGGGGGAC